GGCAGACTGAAATCACCTGATGATCAGGCTAGTGCAAGCTCATGGAAGCCGACCCCTAGACTGCTGGTGGGTTGCAGTGGGGAGAGACTGTGCAGAATTGCAGAGGTCCAAGGTTTCTGTAACAAGGGTATCATGCATCCAGGCCCATGACTACAGCGCTGCAGGTGGCATGTGGAAGTCGCCTCCGCTACCTCAATTTATGGACGGAAGGTATCCCGCTGGGCTGCGCGCAATGCCGCGTGTCAGTTAACGAGAGATGCGAAGATTTTCGGACACGGGCAGCTGATGCATGTGTGTATGTGTGTATGTGTGTGCATCAAGATGCCGCAGTGACATTGGTTTGACAGTTACCAAGATTCCTGGCCGGCCTTGAAGTCGGCCAGTATGGTACCCGCCCGCATACTGTGACCTGTGGTTTGGGTAGACTCTGTGCTTTCGCCAACCTCCTCCGCCATGACTGAAAAAATATCGCTCACCTGGCTTGAACATCTCCGTACTGTTCCAGCCACGTGAGAGCAGTGCGGCGGATCTATTCAACCGAAGACGTGGAACAGCCACAGACCCACTTCGTGTTGTGGGCAGGGGCGCCCTTGTAGTGTCACCCGCTCGCCCAACTTCCACCAGCAGATGAGAGCGTTCCTGGATACGAGGAGTGCCAGACATTAGCCGTCGCTAAGAATACGTCCTCTATCACACTTGCAAGCGGCTGAGTACTGCGCGGCATGTAGTGTCCTCACCGTCATCTTTTGACACGGCGAATCCCGGTTCTGTTTCAAGGGCATCGGCTGGGGCACTTTGACGGTGGTGCTGGGATGGACTCGAGAAACGCCTTAATGCTGCAGTTATCACGCTAGAACATTGTGTATGGAGGTAGAAGCACCAAGAGTCTGAAGTCGACATAGTCTACTCGCGGCGTGGTGTTCGCGCTGTGATCGAGATTACCTCCCGCTCCCGTTCGACGGCGTGTGTGCGATAGTTAGCGGCTTCTGCTCGTATGATCCTGGGTCCGATCACTCTTGGTTGTGTATGTCCAATCACGTCAAATGTGGACGAGCAGCGCATATTCTATTGGGGGCACAGAACAATCCGCATTGTAACCGCCATTTCCACAACAATCATGTTGAAAACATCGATGACGAGCACACGGAGCGGGCGATTGCAGGGAGGGCCGTGGGCATGCGAGAAGTGGCTGGGGCCAGGGCTCATCGGATGCGGACAACCGAATCAGGCATACAGCGTTCAAGATTGAATAGGACATGTCTTGGAGATGTTCATTGTTGTTCACGGGGCGCACGACTGTTTTTGATGAGTAGTGGAGATGCGGTAGGCCACGTCGCTGATGCAATGCGATGTGATGGACATGACGAGGACGGCGGCAGTCGACAGTGCTGCACGGCTGCCGAGACTCGCACACTGCAGCGTGCAGAAGCAAAGATACACGAAGAGCCAGGGCCCACTTTTCGCAAGCTGACAGCAGCGAGATACAGTGCTAGCCGACGTTTTCGTGCGCTCGAGGCCAAGCAGACGCAAGAAAATAGTAAGGTCGGAATATACGCCCGATAACGTGGGTAGACGCAGCAATCTTGGGTCTGCTGACGGACGTGCAAGGGTCAAACATCATCATGGAAAAAGTCACGCTCCCAGATGCACTGATGTGCTGAGATTTGATGCTGCGAAAGCGGAAATAAGAGCGAGAGCAGAGGGGGGGGCATTTCAAACAGCTGCAGCGTCGTGCCTATCATGGCAGCCGCGGCGCGAGGATAAACTCTCGGGCTGATACCGCTGGTGTGGGCAATCGTGTCAGTTGATGACGACTATCCGTGACGGACAAGTCAGCTCGCCGTCAGCGAAAAGGCGGGATGGACGGAAGCCAGGGATTGGCTGCGTGTATTGCTGGACCCGCGATGCGATGCTCGTCAAGATTGCGAGAGGCATGGCAGAGCTCTCATTTTCGCAGCAGGCCATACGAGAGACAGCGATGACGGCCACGGACCGAAGAGTCGGCGGCGGGTAATCGAGGCAAGTTGCTTTTCACCCTCACACACCGCACTGGAGACGTCGGTTGGGGGTTCGCTCTCGTTGACGCATTGGGCATTATTGCCGCTCCTCGAGGTCTGTGCCGTGTCCAATATTCGCATGCAGACAGACGTTTTGCAGGCCGCTCTTGCCGAGGCCCGCAATTGCCCGGCCGTGTGGTGAGGGTGTCGTGGGCAGAACTTTTGGGCGGCGGCGGCGATGCTGGAGAGAGCAGCTGCGCAGGTGTTATGTGAAGTGTCGTGTATAGCTCGAGGCTCCCCTAACGTGGTTTGGGTACTAGGCCTTGCGCGACTGTACCATGCCGCCATTAGCGCGGCGGGCTAGCTTTCAGCCTCAAGACATGGCCGCCTCTTCTTTGCACGTCTCGCGACAGCACCACGAGGACGCGCGCGGCGGCGACGACATGGGCAGAAGCCGAGGCTGGCTGCCGGGGCTGCTGAGGCCTGCAGCGCGCAAACGGGTGCAAAGGGCGGTCAGTACGTCAGGTTAGTCAGCGGAGAAGGGCCCGTGCCCATGCTGTCGGACTATTTTTCTCACTAGTGGCTGCCACTCTGGTGTCTAACCAGCTTCTGCGTTAGCCCTCACTCTAGCCTACATCGCGAATCTCACCCAGCTCATCCATCATCACCAGCGCGACCGGTACCTGGCTCTAACGCTGCCGTCACCGGCGATAGCTCGCGACCCCAGGCACACCAAGTCGCACGCCTCAGCGCTGCTACACGTGCAACTGCCACCAGCAAGACGATCGCCGCTCTCCCGGCGCGTTCGTCACTAAGGCACCCCACAGCGCTGCCCATACGCACCAGCTGTCCTGCCTGTCCTGCCACGCCGCGAGTCACTTGGGCCCGTAAGAGACGGCACCAGATCGCCCACCCTTGACGGTCCACTTCCGTGGAGTAGGTGCGCGCGCTTCCGACAGCAACCTCTGCTCTCGTGCCGGGACTGCGCTGCCTCGACTGTAGACTTGCACGGAAGCCCGCTGTCCGGCCAGGAGGTGATCGCTCGGCTCGCTCGGCCTAGTTGAGCTTTCTGGGAATCGAGAGTGCTGCGAGAACCAGAGTCTGAGCGAAACCTTCAGTCATCGATTTCCCAACGGGCCGACTGTGTTTCTTGCCCCATCAGTGGCTGCGGAGCCAGTCAGCGACGCGCATCCACCGCAGCCCCTTCTGTGGCCGCCTACGCACCCTTTCACCCTCGGCGAACAAGCTCACCCCAACCCGGTTTCTTCGTCACTAGCGCCACTTCTACACGGACCCGCACGCCCCTCCTGCCCACCCTCGAGCGCCCAGCGTCCCACACTCTGCTGCGAGCGCCATCCCAACCTTGTCCTAGCCACTCAACCCAGAACAGTAACCATTCCCATTGTCACGGCTCGGCTTTACCGACTAGACTGGCCCCCCTGTATTCGCCGCTACGGCCGTCCGTTACCTCATCTGGTGTGCTAAGGCCTGCTGGGTAAGCCGTCAGTCCCTCCAGGCCGATCCATTGGTGGCCAATCCACGTCGCGCGCCACCCAGTCTAAAAGGCCTTTAGGTCGCGCTGTCACTAGCTGTGTTCCAAATTCACTCTCGCCCCAGCAGACCCGCAGCGCAAGCTCGTCAACCACTAGCACCGATTGTGTAACCTTTGCGTTGCACTTCACTCTGCACCGCGCCAACTGCTCCGCGATTCGAGAGATCTCTGCCCGCTAACCTGCTCCCCTGCCCCGGTGTCCTCGAGCTTGCGCCTTCCGTGCGTTATCTTTTCGACGGTGCATATTTGCCGAACTGCTTGTCCTCCATCTGGGCGTCGTGGAAACCACACCGTCTGCAAATCATCCGCGTTTAACTTCCACGCTACCCACGGCCTGACCACATTGCTTCTCCGGTTTTCTGGCTGTGCTTCTCTTGGCTCGACTGAGGCTACGTCTTTATACGCCCTAGCTGCCTGTCTTCCACAGACCGCGGCAAATCATCCGAAGACGGTTTGCGACGGACATATCTCTGCAGCCATCCCTCCTCGTGGGCGCACGCATCCAACCATCCAACCTCAGCTTAGAGCCTAGCTACCCTCGACACCTCGCCAATCTACACAGTCTATGGACGCACGGCAAGCAGACTACCCGCAGTCAGGTTTGAGCTCGCCCTACCCAACCTTTCCTGAATCAGCTTCTGAGGGAACCTCTGCAGATCAAGCATCTGCTGCGCAATACCCTCCCCCGGGACCAGATCCTCGCTCCTCCAACCTCACCCCCAATTCAGACTACAGTCTGAATCCTTCGTCGGCTCGATCAGGGTCGTTTCCGGATTACATTCAACGTTCGTATCAACCCGGCGCTCAAGGGCAAGCACCCGGTGGTATGGCGCAACAACAGAGTCCGTCAATGCCTCTCCCAGATGGTCAAGCAAATGGCCATCAATCACCACAACAACTCAAGTCTGACTCGGATGTTCCTATAGATCCATCAATCGCCGCGCAGACGAGCCCAACATATGCAAGCCACCAGCAGCAGTACTCGCCTTACACACCTCACCACGACATGCAGCATTACCCAGGGCAGCCCCAAACTCCCATGGGGTACCCTTCGCGACCTGAATGGGCAGGCCACTACCCTCAGCCAGGTATGCACTACGGGCATCCTGCGACTTCTGGGCCACCTGCGCCTGCAATGGTCTCTCCAGTTCAGCGACCACCCACTGTAAGTAAATCTAGCTTCGCATTTCAACCAGCTAGCCGGCACGCGTCGCATGCGCTTGTTGTCGCGCTACTCGTTTGTCACAACGTGGTCGAACCCTTAAACTGACCATCACAATTAGGGCGGACATCCGCTATCCACAGTATACTCATTTGTACCCATTCCTGGCGCACAACAACATAAGCGACCACGTCGGCGCTATGAAGAAATTGAACGCATGTACAAATGCGGTTGGAATGGTTGCGAGAAAGCATATGGTACTCTGAATCATTTGAATGCGCACGTCACAATGCAATCGCACGGCGCAAAGCGCACTCCTGAAGGTATGTTCTTTCCATTTCATGGGACATCAATTGCTGTTGTAGTTGTGGCCCTTGCAAAACTAGTGCGCTAGGTTGGCCCTTGGGATCGTGCTGGCGCAGCGCCATAATGGTCGTGTCCCCGCTGCACTGGGTAGCTTCTCATGACGGAAGCTAATAGCTGTCGACCCATGCCTAATTCTCTTGGCGTCTTAACACTCCTGATATACGATGCTAACTTCACCTTACAGAGTTCAAAGAAATCCGAAAAGAATGGAAAGCAAAGAAGAAGGAGGAAGAGGCTGCACGCAAAGCCGACGAAGAGCGACACCGCGCCGACGTGCAGCAGCGCGCTCACGAAGGAGGCGCTCCTGAAGCGCCTGTCTATGGACAGATGCGACAGGCGGTCGGCGTCCCTGGTCAACCTCCTCAACATCCCCAACTTCCTCCCATCGGGTACCAACCTGCAGCCTCTGGCAACAGCACTGCTCCTCAGTACGGCACGCAGAGTCCAGGTCTCCCCGAGGGCATGGCTCAGTATGCCACCCCCAACAGCAATGCGTACAACAGTCCAAATAGTAACAACAGCAGTTACCCCCAGTCGCCCTACGGACAAAACCCGCAAATGTACCAGCAGAACCACTAGGAACGTCCTGCCAGTCCAGAAGCCGACCCCTTCGACGACCTGTTTAAAGACGATTAAGATGGTCAAGATTCAGGTATACCAAAAGCGCACTCGCTTGCTCCGTCGCATAGAGCAAGCGAGTCTTGACGACTCTCCTTACGGTGGTTCTTTGCCTATATGTTGCGAGCCTATGCAACAGTTTCAGCATCTTTCCTATGGGGCGGTGCTTGCATTTCCATTTGGTGGCGGCTGTATGTTTCTAATTGGTTGTGTTCACAACGGAGGTTACTTCAGCACCGATGCTCGGTCTGAAAATGGTCTAACGATCGATGTCGGGGAGTTGCTACAATGTCTCGAGAGATACCATGAAAGTGAGGGCGAGGATAGCTGTTCGAACATACGTTATGCAGGTTGCGTTATCGGTTTTCCTCTCATCTTCCATCACTTCAAGAGGCTTTCCAAAATCCCGAAGACAGACCTGTTCATATTGGGGGCTAGAACCATTGCATGCAAAAAGGCGTTTGAAACAAGAAACAATCTACCTATTACTCTTCATCTGATCGCTCATTTGCTCTCATGTTTCGCTTATCGTGTGATCTTCTTGGGAACATCGCTGGGCATCATTGGAGCCTCTGTTTCCGCTTTCGTGTCCTCGCACAGGCAACGTGGAACAAACCAATGTGAAGTTGACTCTGGGTCACCATGATACTACCCGTCAGCTTTTGCCTCCAACTCCGGTATCGTGTACTTCACACGATGTATAGTCGCATGATCAGACGGTTCCGCTTGAAGCTAATCAAAGGGTGCGGAAAGATGACGCTGTGACTGAAGCGTACCGTTCCCCAACCAAGACATTGCCGTGTACGTCTATATCACGTCGTGCCTTGTACTGCACTGTCGCCGTACTTGCCCGACTGTCTGCATGTCTCGTTTAGTTCATGATTGATGCGAAGGCGCTCCATGGCCAGACCAGATTGTTTTGGACGTATTCAAGACATCTCAGCGTCTGTGCGTGTTTCAAGGCTCAGCATAGATAGATGGGACTTACAGGACGTGCCTCGCTTCTCTACACTCCAAGGCTCTAGCACCACATGCATGTCCATGCCCTCGCAGCGGTGATCAGCTCCTCACTCTATCACTCGCATGCCTGCCGCCACGTACGCACACACACTGCAAGACCACTGAACTGCCCGAGCATCCCCCCGTCTCGGATTCAGATCGCATCGAGGCATCAGACCACAAATGCTCAAAAACTGACCGCGAATTTCTCAAGTGTCACCTCACTCGAGTACACGACTTATTCTGCTGGCTCCGACCTGCGTGCTGATTCGCCCGGGGCAGGGGTGTCATGTAGAATAATCTGAACGCGAGCAGCCAATCGATTGCACATGGCCATGTCGCAACATAGTTGGAGGCAGGTTGTATTACGCCGGTGATGACGCATAGCACACATACCACAATGAGGAGGGCAGGCTCGTATTCAGGGTCAATGGAAAGTACCGCCTGGGTTCGACTGAGTTCTGAGGCACACTCTTCGTATCGAATAGGGAAGGAGCGGAATGTGGGTGGGAATGGCACAAGGAATTATGGCTGCATGATGGTTGTATAGTCAAAATATATTAATTGCATGCCGATATGACACTCGACATTTGCATGCGAGAATAGCGACACAAGCGGAAGCTCGGTGTGTCGATGGGAAGTGTATGCGTGTGGTCGTCTCGCGTGCAGTAAGTGTGCCTGTGGGTGATTTTGTGTAACGAGAGACAGCCGCCGTGAGCGCTGATAGGACGGCGAGAGTGCATATTCGCTGTTCAATATTACCGAGAATAAGAGGGGAGGGGCGTATGGCCTGTTACTCCGTGTCATCGATTACGATTGCACGAAGCAATCCTCGGATCACTTTTGCTTGGTCATGCGAGCGTTCGCGCCCTGACGAACGGTCCGCTGGGGGCAGGAGAGATGCATTCGATGAATGGCTGGCGAAGTTTCCCACACACTCTTCTCCACTCACGAAAAAAGCAAGCTCTATCTTGGAGAACGGTGGCGCATGGACTGTTTCCTGCCGCGGCACGCTGGGTCAAAGATTCCGATGGTGATCGTGTTGGGCAATGTCATCCGAATGCGCATGAGTGATGACGCCTCTTTCTGGGTCCCTCACCGGCAAACCGCCGCGCCAAAGGAAAGAAAATTCTGCAGCAAATTGCCAGGATGAGCGACTCAACAAAGAAGCTGGGCATAGGCGACGTCGATGATTATCGCAGCGACTTCCGCAGACGATGCACATCGAGATGCGTACATTGAACGCGAAGCCGACTAGGAATTACCATCGACACGCTAGCATCTTGCAAAGGCGCATCTGCACGATCGCCGTCTAGTGGCACATCAGACCGTTGTCCGATCAAACTACGCTGATGCTCCGAGCGCTGGCCCTTGGGTTGCTTTCTGGGCGCGCCGTTGCAAAGGGCACTGGGGTAGCGGGCTTGCAAGCTAGCCAGGGGAGTGGCAGGCGCTGGCTGGCGTGGCAGACATTAACGGCGCCGCCAGTCCATGACTGACGGCGGAAACTAGCAGGATGGTGTGCATGCGCTCGCTGTGCTACTGTCGCTGGTTAAGGCATGGACGTGTCAAGGGCTGGGTAGCACATGTTACACAGCAGTAGCCTGGGCTGAAGGATTCGGTCCCGATGCCACGAGGGGACGAGGGTCCTGGATGTGGGCGTGCATCTACTGGCGCTGTGCCACCGTTGGATCTTTGTTCGTCAGACAACGCGTCAAGGCAAATGAGCATGCCGGTCTACCAATCGTGAGGTTGCAGATACACACGATAGACCGTTCAGGTCATAAACGGTGGCCGCAGACGGATCTGTCTTGTGCACCGCTTCCAAGCACCCACAACAACAGCAACCACCTCACACGCAGCACAGGCACAGCAGTCTCGCCTCGTACAGGACACAAGCAACAGCGGCGCAGATTCCCGTCCATACAATGCCAGCGTCGCCTCACACGAAACTAATCACGCAATCCTCCCTGCAACAGATGCCAGACGTACGGGCCCTGTAGCACCTAAACAGCCGACTACCAGGCTTACCTACATGATGGCCCTTTTGAACCCTGATCCCGCCACGTCGGGCTCTGCTGTGAAAGGGCAAATTCTCTGGTGCTCGGTGTGCATGTTCATCTCACCGATGATGATGCTGGACGAGCATTACTTGTGTATGATATCGACGAACGTCTGATGTTGCCAGATTTCAGCAGTGTTAGTAAACAAAGCGAAAACATCGGCCGAGACGCATGTGTACTCAATGGGCGGTATTGCGCTAGCACCAGACCCTGCCGTACGCCAGACATTATGCGACAGTGTTAGTTTGCTTGCTTGCTAGGTCGCTGGGGTTAGAAGGGAAGGATCAAAGTAAGCCCTATGATGGTGGTGCGCCTGGCTGGCTCTGGCTCCCGCGATATAGCGTTGATTCGGCTCCAGAGGCTCGGAGGCGCGTAGTGTAGGTTCAGCCTTGTTGGCGGTAGGCATGGTTTGCTGCTAGAGGGGCGCGGGAAGTCTGACCTAGGCTGGGTTGCTTCTTCGCGTGCGGAGTGGACGTGCTGGAGGCGGCGCGGTTCATAGCGGCATACCAGACCTGCTAATGTGCTAACGCCGTCTTGAGTAGCACGCGAGTACACAGATGAGGCTCCTCTTCGGTTCGGGCGATCCGGTCTCGGGTCATCACGTGCTGGCGTGTTCGGCCCGGAGATGGGGCGCTACCGAGTGGGCAACTTTTCCAGACTAGAACATGCCACGCCATTTGTCCATAACGAACCGCTCTCTCGACCTGATGCTGAACTGCCGTGCCTGTCTTTGGCGATGCATACAGGCGCTCGATGTCCCGGCCACCAATGCGCACCGCCTCCGTCGTAGCGGAAATTTACTCCTCCACCCGAACCAGCAACGGCTGCTATCCTCCCACGGTGCCACCAACGCGGAGAGTGAGGGGTTGACCGTTTCGCGCGAAACAGGGGGATTCAACCGCGATGGAGAGGACCACTTCAAGAAGTCGGCCTTCGCGGCGAACCGGAAGAGGAGGGAAACTACAGCGCTGCGACAGTCGTCGGCACGCCAGCCAGACGACGAGACACCCAATCTAGCGAGGCTCGGCCGGCGAGACCCGTCCATGTCTGATAGCGACTGGAACAGGAGGAAAAGAGAGCTGCGTCACTTGCAGGATCCGTTGGAGCTGGCGACGTTTGTGAGGAACGAATTGAAGAAAGACAGAGTGGAAGAGATGCTGCAGTTGGTGCGCATGGCGAGCCACTCCATGCAGTGCATTGTCAGCTGGAACCACATCATTGACCACTACCTGGCCAAAGAGAGGGTCAATGATGCGATCAAGGTCTACAACGATGTACGCATAGCCTGCGCGAAGACATGAGGGGTAATGCTGACTTGCCACAGATGAAGAAGCGCGCACAATTCCCAGACTCCTACACGTACACGATTCTTCTCAGAGGCCTCTCGTGGAATGCGCATACATCCGGTGTTCTTAGCAAAGCCCTCTCCATCTACCACTCGCTCTCCGCACCGAATTCCCGAGTCGAGCCATCGATCATGCACACGAATGCTGCGCTGAGAGTGTGTGCAAGAGCAGGAGATATGGATGCCTTGTGGGGTGTGGCTGGGAAGATACCAGAGAACGGGCCAGCAGCAGCCAATGCCATCACATACATCACCATACTCAACGCTATACGGCAAAATCTGCTGATAGATGCGCCCAAAGGAGAGAGCGAGGAGGAGACGGCGGCAAGGAAAGAGCGCGGCATCATGGAGGGGCGGCGCATGTGGGAAGATATCGTTGGGAGATGGCGACGTGCAGATCTGGCTATTGACGAAGAGCTCGTCTGTGCGATGGGAAGATTGCTATTGATCGGCAGTCGACCGCGAGACTGGGACGACGTGCTCTCCTTAGTGGAGCAGACAATGGACATACCTCGACTTGTTCCTCGATTAGGCTCAGTCGAGCGACAAACTGCTGGCCTTCCACGCGTGCGAGCACCAAACGTACCGAAACAATACCGTATCGATGACGACCATCTCTCTCCAGATAACGCCCCAACGCGTGGTGACGAGTTCCTTGCTCTGACGCCTCAAGGCGTCGGCAGTGCAGTATCAAATCCTCTCATCTACGTTCGACCGGGCAACAACACGCTTTCCTTGGTCCAAGAAGCATGCCAAAAGATTGTGGCGAACAAGGCCGCGCAGGAATACTGGGACCTCTTGACCGACCCAACAACGTACAAGATCACTGCTGATGTGAACAACCTCAACATGCGTCTGCGCAATCTCCGTCAGAATCGTGCCTCTAGTGCTGCAGTGCTGCTCTTGCAACAAGACATGATGGACAAGGGTATCACGCCCCCGCCTGGTACATTCAGAATCGCAATGAGTACATGCGTTCGCGACAAGAACAACCACAACTCGCTCAAAAATGGAGGTCAGATCTTGCAGATGATGTCCAAGATCTTGGAAGACGCAGATCCCAAGACCGTCACCATGTATGCTGGACTTGCAGTCTCATTTCCATTGGCTACAGGCGCGGATTTTATCGATGCACTCACTCTACTTGACCCCCTCGTGAAGAACATCCGTCTTCAACTGACCATTGGTGCTGGACAGACGAACTATGGGCGTCGCGGCCCGCAATACTTGAAGGGCGAAGCGAGACAAGACGCCATTGATGCGCTGAAGAAAATACAGGGCGTATACGATAAGCTACTGTTTTCGAAACTTATTGCTGAGGAGTCAAAGAGTCCGTTTGAAAAAGAGAGAGCCAGGCTCTCCGCGTTCATCCAGAGGGTTATGTTCAAGGGTGGGCAGGCGAATGCAGTGCGTGGAGAGCCACCTGAAGAGGCCGATCCACACGGATATCTGCAAAATGAAGACGGGCAAAGCGAGCAAGGCGATGAACGACCGTCGTGGAAGAAGGAATGGACAAGGCCACTAGAGAGACCTTCGCGGCCAGCCATGCCAGCAAAGCCATTCGAGCGAAAGAGGAGACCCCGGTCATTTAAGGTTGATGAAACGGGAGAGCTACGCAATCTCTAGGCTCCGACAGTAATGAGGTATTTCCTCTTAGCAAGAGCATTCTACAGTTTTTTTGTATAGTACCATTGTATCCTCTAGTCGAAACACATAGCTTTTAAGACGATGCTGCTTCTTAACCACTACAGCGCAACCCTCTTGCATTAGACAATCATTTCCTTCAAGATCTCGGTCTCTCTTCTCGTGAAATGGATTCTTTTGGAAGTGATACAAGCTTCAAAACATGTGCAGTTACTCCAATTCGTCTCGGTCTCTCCTACATAGGTACATTACATCCAGGGCTAGGTATGGTCGAGCTGGCACGTGCACGTCCCAAAACTACTCGAACCTCCGCGCTTCGCCGCACGCCCTCGGCTTCTCATCACCATCGCTCACACACCCGATCACCTACTTTTGAAGCCAAGCCCTACAAAATGGGTAACGACGGTGGCTCGATTCCCAAACGCAGCGAACTCGTTAAAGAAGCCGCCAAAGCGCTCACAACCGCTCAAATCAAGGAGGCGCAAACCGAACAACAAGAATACGCCTGGTCCACCGATCCTCTTACGCGCAAACCTCTCGCTCGTCCTGTGGTCTCGGATGCAGCTGGCGTTTTGTACAACAAGGACTCCATTATTGAGTTCCTTCTGAAGGACGACGAGGATGCAGAGAAGGCGGAGATGAAGAAGGTTGGGGGTGTGAAAGATTCAGAACTGGGCACGTTCGGGGATAGAGTTAAGGGGCTGAAAGATGTCGTGGAGGTGAAATTTGAAATCGAGGAGAAAGACGGTGGTGAGGTGCAGAAGACTTTGGGAGAGAAGTGGAAGTGCCCGATCACAGGCGAGAGGCTAGGACCGGGGAGCAAAGCCGTCTATGTTGTTCCTTGCGGACATGCATTTGCGGGAAGTGTCGTCAAGGAAGTTGCTGAGAGGGCGTGTTTGACAGTACGTACCAATTGGACTTTTGAACCTGAGGCGCGATGACTGACCTACTTCCAGTGTAACGAACCGTACGCAGAGAACGACATCATACCTATCCTACCTACCGTGGCGACCGATATCGCACGATTGAACCTGCGTATGAAGACCTTGAAGGAAAAAAGCCTGACACATGCGCTCAAGAAAGCACCCGGCAGCAAGAAGAAGCGGAAACAGGGCGATGCATCTGCCGCCGAGAACGGCACTGCGAAACCAACATTGTCAGACGAAGATAAAAAGGCAAAGAAGGAGGCTGCAGCAAAATCTACAACAACGGCGAATGACGGCATCAAGAACTCTGCCACAGCTTCATTGACGCGAAAAGTCCTTGAAGAGCAGGAAGAGCGCAACAAAAGGAGGAAGATGGCTCAGAATGACAACGTGAACAGTCTGTTCAACAAGAAGGAGCACAAGGCATCGGCAGGAAATAGTGCGGATTATATGACGAGGGGGTTCAGCATTGGGAAGAAGTGAGCTGATCATCGTGGAGAGGCAGACATCCAGGGTGCTTTTGGCAGGCACATGATGGCACTGAGGGTGTGTCGATAGAACAACAATAAATACATGATACCCTGCGATGAAAAATCGCAAACTTTACATCTGATCCCTGACCACGGAAGTAAAACTGTCTTGGCTGAAGCGAGAAGACGGGTACATCAACTCAATGTTCTCAAGGTGATGTGCAGTAATGAAACCAAAGGTCTACAGTCACGAGCCGTTCAAATCCATGACGGAGTGTTTCTTACGACAAAGAGTTCTGATAACATGTCTTATGAAGCTATTACTAGAACCCCTTTCATTCTTGTGGCGATTCTTTTGTGCTCACTGGTGGCAGAAAGAACGCTTCACGATAGTACCTCGCCTCCTCAATGCTCTCCAGAATGTCTGCACGTGCTTCATGCAACATCTTCTTTCGTGGTATCTTCTTCAAAGTAGCTTTGGGTGCCCATCTACGAGCAGCCTCCTTGATGCTGCTGACGTCCATGATCCGGTAATGAAGGTAGTCGGTGACAACCTTGTAGGGCTGCTTGACGAGGAAAGACTTGTCGGCGTGTACAGAGCTCCCAGAAAGCAAAGCAGTGCGGCGTTCAGGTACGAATTTCTTGATGTAGGCAAGTAGCCCTTCTGCTGCTTCTTCGGCAGTGGTGGTGGAATCGATGCAGGCTTGAGTCAAACCCGACTGACCGTGATGGCTAGTACACCATTCGCCCATAAGATCGAGCTGCTCCTTGTCGTGATGTATTACGGCTTCATAGCCAGTTTCGTCAAGGATGTTGAGGTCTGCATCAGTGACGAATGCGGCGAGAGACATGATGGTGTCATTGTCAGTGTTCAGGCCGGTCATCTAACAGGGTCAACGAAATACTGCAACAAATCTCGATCAAGCCTACCTCACAGTCTATCCAGACCAGAGGGGCTTTAGAGACTGTCGCCATGATGATGGTGGGGTGTTGAAGGGGCATTGTAGCGGGCAAGTAATAGATTGTACGAATTCGGGTAGTGGCTTGGCGCGCTTAATTGACTGTCCGTCGCGTCGCGTGCACGGTACTAGCGCGTCGCTCCTGCACTTTAACCTGTCGTCCCGCCAGCCCTCCAAACACGCCCACGAGAGCACCCGATACCCCAATTTCTTCACTTCGCCTTTTGCTCGCATACCCTATACGTTATAATTCATCATGTCGCGTGTAGGGAAGAAGACTGGCGCTGCCCTACTAGCCGAATTGCGAGCGAACCGCGCGGCGGGCAAGACGCGTTTGTCCACATACGAAGTCGCCGAAGAGGAGCAATTGTACGACGAGGTCGACGAAGAGGGGTACAAGAAGATTGTGCGGGGAAGACTGGATAAAGATGACTTCGTCGTCGGCGACGAGGGCGAGGGATACGTTGATGACGGCAGAGAAGAGTGGGATGACGGACAGGGTCAATACCACTATGCTGCCACGGATAGCGAAGAAGACGACGAGCGGCCCGCCAAGGGCAAGGCTGGTATGGTGTCAATCATCAAGCGTACGCACGACTTACAGCTAACGCGTGATAGCCAAGCGGAAACGCGAAGAAGACGAGGAGAAGCGAAAAAAGATCGACAATGGCATCAGCAAGTACTTCAGTGCGAAGAACGCTGCAAAGGCACCTAAAGCAAAGGTATAATACTGTAATACATCACCCCACCCAATCTCAATGCTAATGCACCCAGCCTGTTGCCACCGCCGCCGACAAGGACTTCATGGAGGACCTGTTAGGCGAGATGAACACAAACCCCGTCCGCTTATCCACGAACCGAATGCGACCCGTCAAAACAGAGGCACGCCGAAAAACACGCGTACTTTCACCTCCTATCTCGGAGAACCGACCGGCTCCGACTACAAGGCGAAGCAATGATTCAGACGCACACATGCCAGATACACCACCGGCAACGAATGCATACGTCGACGATGACGACCTCCCCGTACTCGACGATGATCAGCCTATGAGCGACCTCCCACTACAATCGTCACCTGTCGCCAAAGCCGTAGAACGAAGAGCACAGCCTGCGATCAAACAAGAAGAAGACGAAGATGACCTCATGGAGGTTGCTCAACCCACGACACATCTTGGTGTGCCAATCACCAGTGTCAACATGGCGGGTAGGCGACCGATAGCAAAGCTCAAGAAAGAAGACTATCCCACACCCGCCAGCTCGTCGCCCGTTGCACCTTCTTCAGCACCTGTCGATGCTTCTTCCTGGAACGACGTTACAAGCAAGCTCAACGTTATGAGCAGCCCCGCTCCAGCGACCACTGGCATGGGCAAGATACAACCACAGGACGCGGTGGAAGAGGATGGTAGCTTACGCATGTTCTGGATTGACTACACCGAAATCAACGGTAGCTTGTGTCTATTCGGCAAGGTCAAGGACAAGAAGTCGGGCAACTACGTCAGTTGCTTTGTGAAGGTCGATAACATCCTCCGAAAGCTATATTTCCTACCCCGTGAATACCGTCACATCAGAGGGGTAACCACCGACGAAGAGGTTGGCCTGAGCGATGTATCAGACGAGGTTGACTCTATTATGAGCAAGCACCGCGTAAATCTACACAAGATTAAGCCGTGTACTAGGAAGTACGCCTTCGAGTTGCCCGACATACCCAAGGAAGCCGACTACCTGAAGCTCCTTTATGGATACGACAAAATGCCACTATCCTCTGATCTAAAGGGTGAAACCTTTTCTCACGTCTTCGGAACCAACACATCCCTTTTCGAGCAGTTCGTGCTCTGGAAGAACGTCATGGGACCGTGCTGGCTCAAGATTGATGCTCCCGACTTTGGTTCTGTTGCAAACGCTTCTTGGTGTAAGCTTGAAGTTGCAGTCAGCAAGCCCAACAACATAACAGTCGTCAGTGCGTCGGACAATCTTGACGCACCCCCAATGACACTCATGAGTCTCTCCCTACGGACTACTTTCAACGCGAAGGACAACAAGCAAGAGATCTTGGTCGCCAGTGCTATGATCTACGACAACTTCTCCTTGACCGACACGACACCCGTGGACCAGATGCAGTGCAAGAGCTTCACCATTATGCGGCCGAACGGCGCAGCTTTCCCAGTAGGCTTTGACAAAGAAGTGGAGAAGGTTAAGGGCAACATGTACATGAAGAAGACTGAGCAGGAACTTCTGAGCCTGCTGATGGCGATGTTCCAGCGGCACGACCCGGACGTCCTCGTCGGACATCGCTTGGACGACGTGGATTACAGCGTTTTGCTAAGCCGTCTGCGTGAAAAGAAGACACCGGGATGGCACCGCATTGGGCGACTCAAGAGAAGCGACTGGCCCAAGAGCATGGGCAAGGGCGGCGGAAGTTTCTTCGCTGAGAAGCAACTAGCTTCTGGTCGCTTGCTGTGTGACCTGGCTAATGATCTCGGAAAGTCTCTGATGCCCAAGTGTCAATCGTGGAGTCTTGAGGAGATGGTCCAGCTTGGGCTCAACAAGCGACGTGAAGAGCTCGACAACGAGGCCGCGCTCAAGACTTGGGCGACGACGAAGGAGGGTCTCCTCAACTACATCAAGCACTGCCAAGCCGACGCCTACTTCATCGCTGCGATCTCGATAAAGGTGCAAATGCTTCCACTCACCAAGGTTCTCACCAACTTGGCGGGTAACTCCTGGGCCCGAACACTGAGTGGAACTCGTGCCGAACGTAACGAGTACATTTTGCTCCACGAGTTCCACAAGAACAAGTACATTTGCCCGGATAAACAGTGGGGCAAGAGCAAAGTAAAGGCCGAGGAAGAAGCAGCCGAGGGCGAAGAAGGTGCGGATGCCAAAAAGAAGGACAAGTTTAAAGGTGGTCTTGTCTTCGAGCCCGAGAAGGGTCTCTACGACAAGTTTATTCTGGTCATGGACTTCAACTCCCTTTACCCCAGTATCATCCAGGAGTTCAACATTTGCTTCACCACCGTCGAACGATCCGATCTCTCGGAAGATGACGACAAGGTGCCCGAAGTCCCCACAAACCAAGACCAAGGTATCCTACCGCGCCTTATTGCTACACTCGTCTCACGACGTCGCGAGGTGAAGAAGCTCATGAAGGCCAAGGATGCCACTCCAGATGAGTTGGCAACTTGGGACATCAAGCAAATGGCTCTGAAGCTCACTGCCAACTCTATGTACGGATGTTTGGGATACACCAAGTCTCGATTCTACGCTCGACCACTCGCTATGCTCACGACATACAAGGGTCGTGAGATTCTCCGCAAAACCAAGGACATGGCCGAGGAGAAGGCATTGCGCGTCATCTATGGTGACACTGATTCCGTCATGATCAACACAAACGTCGATAACATTCAGGATGCGCTGAAGCTGGGCAACGAGTTCAAGAAAGAGGTCAACGACAGCTACAAGCTTTTGGAGATCGACATCGACAACGTCTTCCGCCGTATCCTGCTGCATGCGAAGAAGAAATATGCTGCCATTAACATGGTCCCTGTCGATGGCAAGTACATCGAGAAACTCGAAGTCAAAGGTCTCGACATGAGGCGCAGGGAGTACTGTGCTCTGTCCAAGGAGACATCAACGTAAGTTCTCCAGCCTACGGAGGTATATATAACGGCGTACTAACAATGCTATAGGGAATTGCTCAACTTCCTACTTAGTGGTGAAGATCCTGAAGTAGTCGTTGAGAAGATCCACAACCACCTTCGCGAGCTGAGCAAACAGATGCGCGAGTACGCCGTTCCAGCTCGCAAGTACACCATCTACACGCAGCTCGGAAAGAACCCCAAGGAGTACCCCAACGGTAACTCGATGCCCTCTGTCCAAGTCGCACTTCGCCTTCAAGCCAAGGGTAAACACGTCAAGGCCAAAGATGTCATGAGCTTCATCATCACAGGTGAATCATCTGGCTCGGCCGAGAGCGCAGCAAAGAACGCATATCCCGTTGACGAAGTTTTGAAAGCCGACAGTGAGCTGAAGCCCGACATTGACTACTACCTCCACAAGCAAATTCTGCCACCAGTGGAGCGTCTCTGCGCGCCCATCAGCGGAACAAACATCACTCTCCTCGCAGCGTGTCTTGGCCTTGACACATCCAAATACCGTGTGAGTACCGTTTCAGGAGGCGCACAACAAGACACCGAAATCCACCCTCTGGAGTCACAGATCCCAGACTCTGTGCGCTTCCAATCATGTTCGCCGCTTTGGCTCCGCTGCCGAGGATGTACGACAGTATTCCCATTCCAAGGCCTCTCTTCGACATCACCAACGTCGGTATCGTTGCAGACCATCTCGCACAGTGGTATACAATGTCCTGCTGAAGGCTGTGGGAAGATACTACAGAACATCAGTGTAGTGGCTCAGCTCGAATCCTCCATCCGCCAAGTTCTCGCTTCCTACTACGCAGGTCACGTTGTATGCGACGATCCCCAGTGCTCAAATCGGACGCGAAGTATATCCGTCTATGGACACCGGTGTCTTGGTCCAAAGGGACTCGCTCGAGATTGCTTGGGCAAAATGACCTACGAGATCAAGGAGCGCGACGTCTGGAACCAGCTGTTATACTACCAATCCTTGTTCGACGTCGACCGTGTTGGTACAATGGATGGTGGTGTCAAGACGGAAGACATGGAGAGGAAGGAGAAGATCAAGGTACTGGCGGAAGTCAACAGAGAGAGATTTGGCACGCTGAAAGGTGTGGTGGAGCGGTGGTTGGAGAGGAATGGAAGGCAGTGGGTGCAGATGGATAGCCTGTTTTCTTTTGCGCTTAAGGCATAGGCGGTTTGGTTTCGCAAAGGCGCAGCATAGGCGATGCATGATCGTCCGGGCGCGCCGTGGGGTTCATCTGGTTCTGGATCATGACGGTGTTTTGCATATAGTGTTGACGTTCTTGAATGTAGCTTTTGAACATGATATCTGGAAAATGCTGTATTGCTTGGGTATATGTATTACTTGTATTATAAATTACATCGCTTTTCGTTCACGATCAGATGTCGCTTGAACCAACGCACTGAAAGGTACTGATCATACAGTGGCAATGCCTTGGGGTACTTCGTTGTTATGCGCACCCTTCTGCCCAGCGCCCTTCAGGGCCTCGCGACAAGCTTCGTGGAAGACAGTAATGAATCGATGAATGTCGTGGAACGAGTTGTATAGTGGGGCAGGCGCAACGCGCAGAACGTCAGGCTTTCTTTCATCAACGACGACGCCACGCTCTTCGATGTAGTGTTGGACTTGATCCAATAACCCCGGGTTAAGAAGTACACTGAGCTGCGCGCCTCGTTCAGCCGGGTTTGCGGGTGTGATTATCTTGTATGGTGGCTCTCCTCCATCGTACTTCAGGATCCGCGCCTCGAGGTATGCGGTCAGTTTAAGGCTGCGTTGACGTAGCGCGTCCATGTTTGTCAACGCAAAGACGTCTGTCGATGCCATGACGGAAGTCATATCCAGCGCGCTAGGGTTGCTGAGTTGAAACCCGCTTGCACCAGCAATGGGAACGAATTTGTTCTCCATTCGAAATCGACTGCTCTTATCGCTTCCCCACCAGCCGCTCAGCCGTGGTCGATAGGCGAGTTCTGTACCGTTACTGGCTACGCCGTTTGTGCCGTCTGTTCGAGCTGCAGATACTTGCTCCACCTTTCCATGTCTCTCATGTACGAAGAGTCCACCGATGACTCCTGGACCACCGTTCATATATTTGTAGTTGCACCACGCTGCGAAGTCTACGTTCCAGTCGTGTAGCTTCAGCGGGACGTTTCCAGCTGCATGCGCTAGATCCCAGCCCACTGTAATACCCAGTGATCGGCAGTGACGCGTTATGAGTTCTATATCGAAGAACTGGCCCGAGTAGAACTGAATACCAGGTAACAACACTAGTGCGGTTGTAGGCGCGTGGTGTGATATGACGGAGAGGATGTGTTCGTTGGAGAGGTAGGGTGAGGAGGCCGAGGGCGGGTCGATGGTAACAAGCGCAGACGGGTCGAGGTTGTGGTGGGCAATCTGAGAAAGAGCCGCGTACTACAAGTCGTTAATTACCAAGCGCTGATAGCATGTCGGCATCAACCTACATGATCGCTGGGAAACGCCTTGCCCTCGATGATGATCTTGTATCTGTCCTTGGTCGGTCGATAGAAACTTGCCATGAGCAAATGCAGGTTTGCAGTCAATGTCTCCATTACGACGACTTCGGTAGACAGTGCACCGACTATTTTCGCGGTTTGTTGTTTTATCGCATCATCAATGTGTAGCCATGGCGGCAGGCCTCCTTCGTAATCGGTAAAGTGACCAAATACGCCCTTAGATGCCCAAGTATCAAGATAGCGATTCACATATTCCTTGGTCCTCCGAGGCTGCAGTCCCAAGGAGTTGCCGCAGAAGTATATGGACTCTTCACCGTCGTCTTCGCGCGTGTTCGCAGGTTTTCCGTTCTGCTGAAACCCGAACTTCCTGTTCCTTAGGTCGCCCTTTGTCGGAATCACGAATTCGTCCCTCAACTTGCTCAGGTCATCTTTCTTATCTTCGTTTTTTGCAAACTCGTCGCTGCACAGTTCCGCCTGTGGAATAGCGAAATAAGGGTTGTGGTGTTTGGGCATTGTAGCTGGTGATGAAGGAAGAGCTACCAGGATTCGGACAAGACAAAGCTTGTGCAGAGGTGATGTAGCACTATCATTGAGGCTTCAGGGACGATAAGTAGATAGCTTGAGCGGGTAAGGCTGGAACAGTCTGGTGCTCGTACGATGGATGGTGGCGGCGGCACAAGGTGGGGTTTGTGCCTGCCTCAGCGGTCTAGAACCCCGAGTGTGAGGGCGCGTCTGATTGGATCCCGTCGGTTGTGACATTCCTAGCTATGACCTCAGACTCGCGAACCTTCATCGCGACAGCGCCCTCCACATCCTCGGTATCGCGATAATGGCCTCCCCTTCAACTATGTGCGCGTCGTGCCTGCGGATAGCAAGACAAACAACGACACGGCGGCCGGCCCAACCTATCGCCGCCGCAGCTCAATCAATGCGAGCGTACAGCAGAGCAGCACCGCACGCCACTTCGCCATCGCTATTCCTCGACTTTCTTGCGCCATCATCTCCACGAGGGACTTCAAGACTTATCCCAGTACAAGGTTTAGCATTCTCACAACCACAACACATACCACGACGAGCCCTCGCCACATCATCCGACGCCTCCACCGCAAAGCCCGCCCAAGCGATCCAAAACCCACGCACCGACGACTCCGGCAACCCCATGCTGATCTCGATAGCACCCCGTGCATCGAATCGGCTTCAGAAGATCTCCTCGGGCGATAACAACCCGAACCTCGCATTGCGCGTAAGCATCGAGAGCGGCGGCTGCCACGGCTTCCAGTACCTCATGGACTTGACCGACCTATCCAAGAACCCGGCGACCGAGGAAGATACCATATTTGAGGGAGAGAAGGGAGAGAAGATCGTTATCGATGAGTCGAGTCTGGAGCTGTTGAATGGAAGCACGGTGGACTATACCATGGAGTTGATCGGGAGCCAGTTCAAGATCAACGGCATACCGGGGGCGACGAGTAGTTGTGGGTGCGGGACGAGCTTTGACATCAAGATGTAAATTATACCCAGGCATTTAAGTTTACACAGGTCGGTGCTTTACGTGAAACTGGCCTCGTAATACACACGGAGTAACCCTGCATTTCCATAGGTAGCCTATCTTGACCACCTTTTGCGCGTGCTGCATGCAGCGATCGTCCTTCATACGAATTGTGGAAACAAAAAGCCTCTGATTTCCCAGGTATTCGAAGTGGTCGCTCCTAAGGGTCGGATTCACAGTCGCGTACGTGGTAGGCTGTGGGTGCGGCAGTTTCGCCCGTGCGTTTGTTGGTCCAGCGGCAATGTCGTTGGTGGTGTTTGCACGAGGTACGAATACCAAACGCATCGGACAGACCTCGCGACTTCCTTTACTCGAACCCTTCTCCTCCGTCCTCTTGCTCCGTCCTTTACGTGCGTTCTTGTAGTATTACATTATGCGAGACCTTGCCCCTCTCAAGACGACAATGTCAATACAGTCGGCACATTCTTTGCTGGAGCTTGATCATTTCGACACTTTCGACATCTGTCTTGACGAAGAGATAAAGATTCGTGTCAACAACGTTGATTTCGTGTTAATCGAGCATTGTCAAGTAATCACAACATTCTCCGTCTTGCCGCAATCGCCCGCTAAACATTACAGAACTTCCTTAGTTTCGATCACAATACTCTCACGTTGGTTCTTGTTTGTGTTATCGAACCAGGCCAGGTGATATCGAAATCCACCCTTGGAATTCTGCGAATAGAAAAGCTCCAGAAAGACGATGTCTTTCAGCCGGTATTCAGCAACACTGTTGTCTTCTATGGCGCCAAGCTGGAGGAGGTAGAGTTTCAGGAAGATGCTTTGGAGGCACTAGCTGCATGGGGTACCAAAACGTGGAGCTTCGTTCCAGGAGAAAACCATGGGCTTACGCGGACCGGCCCGTACGTATACGTTCATGGGCGAACATGGCAGCCTTGGAGAGTATACAGCGACTTCAACGGTACATTCATGTGTACATTCAAGGCAGGGTCTGAGAGTACTGGAAGATAAGCGCTTCTCATATCTTCTATCATCCAAAACTAACTGCGCTTACCCTAGTCAAAGTTGACGAACCAAAGGCTGGACTCGATGGAAGAGTCCTGGTACCATCACGATGCTACTTCAATCCGAGCAAAACCCGCCCTCTTGACGGTGCAAGAATAAGCGTCAAGGACAACATTGATATCGCAGGCCACAAGACCACCCTATGCAATCGTGCCTGGGAAGATTTATACCCACCCAGGTCCAAACACGCAGACTGCGTCCAGAGTCTGTTGGACGCTGGGGCTATCATCGTTGGGAAAACCAAGCTGCAAGCAATGATCATGAGGGAGGAGCCACTAGAGTGTGTGGAGTTCGCAGCACCGTTCAATCCTCGGGGCGACGGTTACCAAGTCCCTTCAGGAAGCAGTCATGGGAGCGCTGCAGGCATAGCATCATATGACTGGCTAGACTTCTCACTTGGTTCGGACAGTAAGTGGTTCGCAGTCGCTACATCTTCTCGCGCCGCTATAAAATATTGCTGCTATCATCCTATCGGTAAACTGACATTGATGCAGCAAACGGAAGTGGACGGAAGCCAGCGTCATACAATGGATGCTTCTCGATCCGACCCTCCACCGGCATTCTAAGTACCAACGGAGTCATAGGACAGTTCAAGTGAGTTAGCAAGACTAATGACTGCTTGCAGCGACTGACAGACGTCCTTGTCTTTTAGCAAGTTCGATATGCCCGTATTCTTTGGTCGAGATGTATCAAAGTTTGCAGATTTCATATCAGTATGGTACGGGAATTCTCCCATGCTTCGACAACCTTCGAATGTCAGTCATGGTTCTATATCTTCTCCCCAACTAAACTGTACTAATGCAAGGCTAGACGAGGTTCAGAATTCTGTATCCCCAAGACTACCTCCCCACTTCCAATATGGCGCAGTCTTCGCTTATCGACAATTTCGTCACGGGCTTGGAGTATGCTTTGGGAACTACAAGGACCATCATCTCCTTAGCAGATCAATGGAGCCTAGAGTGCCCAGATGGAAACGAGAATGCCGATCTGGCGGAATATCTTCGACTTGTACGTACTCCTCGTACCTCAATACCAGGAATAGCTTTACTGAATCATTGGCAGACCGGAAGTTACCCGTACTACCATGATTCATATCACAATCTACACGATTTCCGTAAGCTATACGAGGAGAAACACGGAAAGCCGCCTTTTGTTCACAGAGCGATGCATTGGCAATGGTAGGTGATATCTTGTTGAACACATAGCTTTGATTCACACTAACCGCCGACTGACAGGGATGTGTCGAAGAAGATTACAGTAGAAGAGCGAGACTTTTACTGGCGACGCTCTGAGCTATACCGAAAGTGGCTTCTAGACAGGGTCTTTGATACAAACAACAAAGACTGCATCACCATTATGGTATTTCCGATCGAAGAAGGAAGGCCCAACTATCGCGACGCGGTGCTACCGTAAGTAAAACAGATATACTGCAAGGACTCTACTCACTTACGTACATATAGACCTTACGCCATTCTCAGCGGGTATTCGTCGTTGAACATGTCTCCTATGCTACGCGCTCCGGAGCTCACTGCAATAGGTAAAGTGTCGTCGAGCATGTGTATTACATGTACTAACACTACTGCAGTCGGTGAAATCACGTATCATTCGACCGTGACTCAACGTGAAGAGCCTATGCCAGTGGCTGCATCGATCATAGGAGCCCCAGGTAAGCTAAAAATACAACAGCAAATCGTCCGCATGCCCGGTCTCTGACTATGCAAGGAACCGATATCATCCTGGCCCGTTTAGTGCAGAAAGGCTTGGAAGCCAGAAACTTGCCGATCAGAGTGAAGACGGGCCGGTCAGTATGTTGAAGAGGGTAGCTACGTGGATAGAGAAGTGAACAGATTGTTTTCGCCGAGAGAAAATGCACATATAGAAAACATCTAATTGATTGAAAAATCGTAGTAAACTCCGTGCTTCTCTACCGAGAAAGTACCAGGACAGCAAACCTTCAAAACGATGTGCCAACTCTCAGCATCACTTCAGGCTTACAACCACCTTCCTTGCCGAAACACCCTTCTTCTGTATTTTCAAAGCTGCTTGGATGGCTTCTAGACCCTCTCCAGCAATGGTTGGCTCTGGAGCTGCTCTGAATCGGCCAGTCGCGAGTGCCTCAGGCAGGAAGTCAGCGTACACGGCTTCGCCAACAGGGGAATGCGCCACCGATCCGTACACAAAACTTGTCTTGATACCTCTCAGCTGTGATTTGATGGTGATGGACATCATCGAAGTGGCGAAGCTCCAGACAATCTGCAGTGCGACAAATCGCTTCGGTTGAGCCGGGATTGGATATGTCGCCATCGCAATGCGCTTATTGCCTTTACATTTGCCCAGGACGTCTAGACAATGGAAAACTGCGTTTTCTCCAATAGACAAGGCTCCCGCGCACTCTTTCCCTTCCATGGCCCCGACGATCTTGTCGACTGTGGAGGGGTCGTTGTAGTCGAAGACTTTGCTAGCACCGAGGGATCTCATGAGATCGAAGTTCTTTGGCGAAGATGTTGTTATGACTTCGTATCCAGCGGAAACAGCGAGTTGAATAGCGTTGCAGCCTACGCTAGTCGAGCCTCCCCATACAAGGACGGTCTTTCCGGTCGGTTTCGGGTGAAGTTGAGGATATTGCAGACCGAGCTGATCCTTCTCGAACAGCCCTGCTGCAGCGGTAGTGAAAGCCAGAGGTATCACTGCAGCAGATTCGAATGACAAGCTGTTTGGAATAGACGATGTGTTCCTTTCCAGGAGAACGGGAAACAGCTGGAATGCTCCGTATGCCGCGCTGTTGATCTTCTTGTCTGTACTGTGCGCCTGACCTAGAACACGGTCTCCTAATTTGAACCGTACCACTTTGCTGCCGACCTGAACCACTTCGCCAGCGACATCAAAGCCGAAAACAAAAGGATATTTGATCCAACCGAACGCCATACTGGTGCCCTGGTCTTGCAAAACCCAATCGACGGGATTGATCGCTACTGCGCGATTCTTGACGACAATTTCGTTAGGTCGAGGTGTAGGGAATGGCGCTTCTGAGACTTCCATACGTTGTTTGGGTGCTGGCATCCATGCTGCGAGATTGGTAGGCATCGTGTTGGAGATAACCTTGGAACGGCTCGAAGAAGTGGTTATGCGTTGACGAGATATCGAATGATGAGATAGACTGAATTATCTTTCTTTGCAGCATTCTCAACACCTTCATTCCTTTCCATCTTATACTTCTACCAACTCCTGGACTTGATGCCTGCTTGCAATGCAATCTCGTGGACGCGGAGCATTGCACCAATCAGAGGCCAGCGGACGTCCGTTTGGGCCCACATTTGAGCCACCTGCCGTCCGTAGGCTTACTTCGATTACTCTGACGCACACGACCCCAATAGGAAGAATGTGCGATTTAGTGTAAAAGCTCTGGTAAGATATGGCCCATGTATATAGCCGCCGACCTAAGTTCGTCCGTGCGTTTCGTGCTTATGTTGCCACCAAGATCACTACCTATGGTCAGCATGTCCTAAACACTTCATCATCTCCTAAGTACGCCTGAAGCAAACCAGAGAGATGACAAACTCGCCTATTTCCTCGGAACGACTGCTAGAGAGAATGAGAGGTCGGGAGAAGGCCCAGCTATCCTGTGATTTCTGCAGGAAGAGAAAGTAAGGAAGTGATTTACCTCATTACCAAGACACCTAACAGGAAATGTCTAGACTTCGATGTGATCGAAACAAGCCTTGCGGGAGCTGCATTCGACTAGGGCAAGTGGCAGGGTGCAGCTTCCCTCTACCCCAACTTCCGCGAGCTCCACAAAAAGACAGACCGATAGAGAGCGCCACGCGAAAGGCGTTCGAGGAACGAATTGATCAGCTGGAGTCGCTCGTCCGGTCTTTGCTTGACAAACAAGAAAAACTCCCTGATGCTCGGATGCCGGGGAATCTGGCGACCCAAGAGACTACAGAAACCGTCGCCGCGGTGGATCCTCTCGTATGTGAAGCTGGACGGATAAACCTGAACGACCATCAGTCTTCATACGTCGAGAGTGACCACTGGAAAGCCATCCTGGATGAGATTAGTGACCTGAAAGACATGGTACAGGAACAAGTTGAAGAACCACAACATACTGAGCCAACACTCCCTGGAAATGACCTATTTCTTCTCCAAACATACCCAGTTACAAAAATGGATATCGTCGCTGCAATTCCGCCCCGCATAATTGTCGATAGCATGATCTCGAAATACTTCAAATGGGCGGACATGCCCGTCTCACTTGTCATTCACCGCAAGGTCTTTATCAAACAATACGAAGCGTTTTGGGAAGATCCGCTTTCGACGTCAACCATGTGGCTGACTATATTATACGGCATGATGTATACAGTAGCCTATTGTACGCTATTCATGAACGGCGGTGCGGCCTCATTGGACGAGACGACAGCAGCCGAATATCACAGCCTGATCATCATCTCACGAGAGAAGATGATACAATGTCTTAGGCTAGGTAACTAAAAACAGGGCTGTTGGCAATTGACGGGCGTCATAATACGCGTAGCGCTCAAGATGGGCTACCACCGCGATGGCTCGCATTTCCCGCAGATGAGTGTCTATGAGGCCGAAATGCGCAGGCGTACCTGGTACATCCTCACGCAATTTGACATCGCTTCAGCTTCTGAGGTCGGTCTTCCGCGAATCATAAAGGAAACTCAATGCGACACCGCTGAGCCGCGCAATCTCCTGGATGATGACTTTGACGATACGTCCACCGTCTTACCGCCTGCTAGACCACAAAGCGAGCACACGCTGTCCCAATTCCTAGTATACAAGAGCAGGATAGTCTCCGTCTACGGAATGATCTGCGACTTCACGACGTCATCGAAGCAGCGAGACTACGACGAAGCAATGCGCTTAGATACGCTACTTAACACAGCGTACGCCCAGAAGCCTCCCATACTCCAGTTGAAACCTATGCAGCAATCTATCTTAGACGGCGCAGAGCTCATCACCCGTCGTCTCTATATAGCGATGTCGTATCACCACGCGCAGATTACCCTCCATCGCAAGTTCATCATTCTTTCAAAGACAAACAGCAAATACCAGGTCTCTCATTCGACATGCATAAGCGCAGCGTTGACAATGTTGCGGCTGCAAGCAGAATTATTCGAACAGTGCCAGCCAGGCCGTATGCTAAATACCGATCGATGGAAGATCCTTTCCTTGATCCAATCCGAGTTCCTGCTGGCCACAACAGTCCTGTGTCTCAATTTGAATGATGATATGAAGAAAGGGCTGGTCGGGAAGGAAGTGGCGCAGAAAAGCGTGGAAGCACTCAAGAGTTCGAGAAGTGTGTGGGAACAGCAACAGGGCTTCTCGAAAGAAGCGCAAACGGCCGTGAGAGCGGTGAATGCTGTTCTGGGTAAATTGGGGAGGGACCCGAAAACAGACACCGATGAAGGTAATCTGGCAGGTGGAGAACATGGAGAGTCTTTCTCTTCATTCTCGGGAGACATCACTTCTGGCCCTAATCCGCTGGCATTTGAGGATGCCTCGCAAACGCAGCTTTCTCACAACATACCGGATGAACTTTTTGGCACAGCTTTTGACGAATTCTTGGTGATGGATCAAGAATTAGACGGATGGCTTCAGGTTTGAGATGAGGTTGATACATTACAAAGTCGGTCATCGTCTATCTCATAACTTCGGTAATATAGTATAGTCTTTTCCAGCTCTTCGAGAGCCCTACATCATATCTGTCGAATCGATGTACACCTAATCTTACACTGCAATCGCTTGGCTGCCTTGTTCGTCCTTCGGTTCTTCGTCAACGCCAAGACTTTCCATGATGCCTTTTGGAGCGTCTTCAGGTTTTGGCTCAGACTGGGCGGGCGGCTGCTCTACAACTTCGTCGAAGATTCCACCTTCGGGCTCTGTGCTCTGGCCAATGGCCTTTAGTATCCTCCATGCCCTCCTGAACTCGTCTCTGATAGCAACGATACCACGGTGAGTGACGGTCCTTGCGACATTGTGATCGGTCTCGAATGGATCTTCAATTGCGAACAGATACCGGTTCGTGACCTTCTTCTCCGCCGTAATTTTGGTTGTCGCGCTCACCCAGCCCTTGCTCTGCTTCGACAAGATTCCGCCAGGTGTTCGAAGGGACAGGACTTCGTTGGTCCAGTAGAACTGCGGGGGCTTAGGTCCGTAACCGTATCCAGATAAAGAAGCGTAGTACTGGAAGAATCCGCGGAGCAATGCACCAACGGACTGTGTATTTTGTGAAAGGCGACCGGATTGCGCGGCCTGGATAATTTCCGGCTCGTTGCGCCAGAAGCGGACTTGATAACCTGCTATAGTCGTGTTCTTGAAGAACTGCTCTAGAGCTACTGTGTCGCTCGGGAGCGGGACGGCGAGTTGGAGATTTGGACACACCGGTGGCTGGGCGACATTGACCAGATAATGCAGTACCATGAGTACCCATCCGTATGAAGAGAGTGTGCCAGAGTATGCACTGTTGACTTTTCGTCGCTTGGCCCATGACTTGACGAAGAGAACCATTGGCCGAACACGAGGGTCAGTCAGGGAGTAGCATCGGAGCATATGAGTGTTATGGATACCGAGTGGGTTTTCGAAGTTGATGTCACATTGGATACCACAACCCGTCTTTGGAAAGTCGAGGGGACCGACTACCTTCTCTCGCATCCACTGCTTCTCAGGTCGGTGATGCTGATCTTTCTTGGCCTTTTCATCGGTTCCGTTGCTGACGCTGTCTTCTGACTTGGTGGCCGACGTAATAGAGGTTTCCTGAGCGGTCTCAACTTTAGCAGGAGCCTTTTGCCGTTTCTTGGTAGTTGCCGCAGCACCTAGTGTAGGGAAGTCGTCACCAAAGTTAGGGCTGTCTGATTGCGCAGTAAGCTCTGAAGCTTTTGATCCATCAGCATCTACCAGCGGCTTTGGTGGTGGGGTGGCCTCTTGTGGCTTGTCTGAAGGGTACTTCTCCTCTTCCGGAAGCTCTTCCCACTTCTGGCGTTCCTCGGCGAGAGCATTATACAAGGTCTCGGTTGGCGTCTGGCATATCTTCAGAATTGGTACTCTCGTCCTCGTGAGTAGACGGCCACCCAGCTTGGCGTCGAGAACTGCCCGTTCCAGCAAACGCGGGATGCCACGATCAATGGCAATATCACTAGCCCTCGCTGGATCCTTCCATATCGGCACTACTGCCAGATCCATATCTGAGCCGGGCATACCAAAGCCGGAAGCTAGACTGCCAAAGCCTACCAAGGAGATGGTCGAGATATCACCAGAGTAGCCGCTGGCAAAAGCTTCTTGCATGATGGTTTCCAAGTGCTTTCGGAAGTCTTCTTTGGCCTCCGACTCGGATCTGGACATCTCCACCTTCGGAATCTCGGCTGCTGCTATTGCGTCCAAGTGTTCGACTTGGGCCATGGAGTTCTCTCGTGGTTGATTCATCGGTGGTCGAGGAGGATATTGACCTTGTGGACGGGGACGCTGTGTCGATGCTGGACCTACCGGGATTTGGCCTGGCAGTGCGACATTATCATAAGGCCGTTGCAAGATTCTAGGGGGCTGTGCACGTGGTGTACCATCTGCGTTCAGATTTTGTTGTTGATGGGGCCGCCCTCGCCCCCGTGAGTGATACTGTCGATTGTCTACCTGTGGGCCGTTTTGAGAGACATTGGGGCCTTGCTGGTCTGGGAAGTTTCGCGGAGTTTGTTGATATCGCTGATTGGGAGCAAAGCCTCTTCCACTCCCTCGGGCTGGCGCCGTGTTGGCGGAAGCGTGGGCGCGCCATCCCTGAGCTTGATCTGGAGTAGGACCTGGAGTTGTGTGGCTTTGACCGTTGCTACTGAAATTGTTGACGGTATCGTGGAAACCTCCGCGACCTCGACCACGTCCTCTCCCTTGGCCTCGTCCGCGTCCACGGTGTGGTGACGGGGTGTCTTGGCCAGACTGTCCACCGGCTATGCTAACGTTGCCGAGAATCATATTGCGCAATTGATTCTCGAGCCCAATGGGCTGTGATGCATTTTCCTGCTCCATGATGTCGGATTAGTTCGAACTCGTTCGCGAGGTAAGCAAGTAGTGGGGTATGTATCCGATTTGACGAAGTCCAGCAGTGAAAGAGGGGCAGTATGGAAGAGATCTTATTGAGGCCAAACTTGTATTCAGAGGAAGTGATTCTGGCGTCTTAAGCTGTGGATGTTTCCTAAGACTTTGGTTGGTGTGACGCGGGGCAGTTATGGCGACGACTATGGGAGTAAAGCGATTGGAGGGCCCCAGTTGGTGGATCTTTTAGGCAGACTATTCACACCAGGCAACCATGGGTGAATGTCTTGTCTAGTCAAAGCGATCAGGCCTCGGAAGGATTTGGATTAAACGTCCACGGTGACTCTTGCGCAATGGGTTGCTGGAAGTGCGCGATTCCTATGGTGGCTCATTCCTGGCGCAGCAACCGTGGAAGCGATGACGAACTGGATCGGGCAGTCGCTGAGTGGTGGCACTGTTTGGGAAGGCGGAGACGGCTTTCGCTGGAAACGGCCTTGGCACACTAAGGCACTAGCGTGGAGCTGTGACGTTCGCGCGCGACACAGGCCGAAGTTGAAGGAACTCCCTGGGACAAAGGTGACTGCGTCTCCCCACCCTCACTATCCTCTGCCCATCGCCTCTCGCTCGTGCCCCCATCCCACCGCTGCCTCCGACATGAACGGCAACATGAACGGGAACCCGCCGCCCGCCAGCGCGCCCGCTGCGCCCGTCGCCGCCAATGGCCAGCAGCCGCCTGTTCGTCGCCGTCGCCCACGTCCGCAGGCCGATGTCCTGCGCAAGCCCCGTCGCCCACTACAGAACATCACAAGGCCCATGGTCTCGTTGTCGCAAATGAACGAGGCCAAGAAGCCCGTCGCCGGGCCCGCAAGCGATGGCACGCAGTCCAAAGACGCGTTGCGACATGAGTTCATTGCTCAAGGCGCCAGCAGCTTCCCACTCATCGTAAGCCGCAAGGACTTGAAAGAGCTGCGACACCATGTCATGCGTCTGCAGAGCAAGACGCACGTCGACATCACCGACGACAACCAGTTCAAGACGCCCATCAAGCTCCACCGCCGAGATCCCCGCGCGCCTCCAAGCGGTATGGGCTCCACGTACGAAGAGGAAGACACGAAGGAGGACATGGAAGAAATGAAGGAGCGGGAGCGCATCGAGCTGCAGAAGGAGGAGCGTCGCAAGGTTCGCGAAGAGAACCAAGCCAAGATCGCTCCTACTGGCATGAAGAAGCCCCCTGCCTTCCACAAGAAGACGGAGCAAAAGTACCGGCCCGATGATACTCCAGAGGCAAAGAAGCGACAACTTCTGCGATACGAGGAGACGCTGCCATGGCATTTGGAGGACTTCGAGAACAAACAGACGTGGGTCGGCACCTACGAGTCGGAGCTGTCAGAAACACATGTCATGCTGTCGACCACCCGCCCCGGCGACCCCAGTACAGCAATTCAGATGGCCCCTATGGAGCGCTGGTATCGGTTCAACGTCAAGGGCAAGGTCAAGACTGGCGGCGATGATCTCGATAAGATTCTGGCCAAGGTTGAGAGAGGCGGCGGACCCAAGTTTTTCGCCGAACTCGAAGAGCGTCAGAAGCAGCGCGTCAACGCAGAGAACAATGCGAAGATGTGGAGCGGAGTCCGTACCCGTGTCGGCGGCGGCGCAGACGACGAAGGCAGGATCAAACGCGAGCGCCCCGACGACGACGCAACCGGATTTGTAAAGCGCGAAGCTGACGCGGACGATATCGACTTTAACCTTGAGGAAGACTTTGCCGACGACGAAGAGGGTCTGAATGGTCTCTTTGAAGGTGAAGAGCAGGACGTCAAAGAAGCCGCAGAAAAGCTCAAGCGAGACCAACTGCAGGCTGCTCTGTGGGATCGCCCCGATGAATTGGCCATTGCGATCAAGGAAGAACAAGAGCGGAAGGAGGCTGAGGAGAGGAGGATCCAGGAAAAGGGCACCCGAAAAGCCCTAGTCAAACGCGAAAAGCAATATGACTACCTCGACAGCGATCCAGAGAACCCGTACATCACGGAAAGTGAGTCCGACACCGACTCCGAGACGGAGCGTCAACAGGCCAAGGAAGAGGCAGAGAAGAAGGCAGCCGAGCAGAATGGCAAGGCACCGGAAGCTGGTAACGTCCCCTCTGGTGCATCTACCAAGGGCACCAATACCCCCTCGGGGAACCACAAGTCTGGCGAGAGCAAGAGCAAGAAGAGGCCAGGCTCACCCAACCTCTCAGAAGCTAGCGGCAACGAGTCCTCGCGCAAGAAGCACAAGAAGAAGCATGACAAGCTGGCTGATGGATCCCGGAAGTCGTCCCTTGCTAATCTCAAGGGCGCAGGGTCTGGTAGCGACAGTGAGATGACTGACGCCGGCAAGAAGCGGAAGAAGGACAAGAAGGACAAAAACCGCATCATGATTGGCGCTTCTCCGAGCGGCACTCCTGGTGCTAGCCGTGCAGGCAGTCCTACAGCCAGCGGCAGCCGCGCAGGTAGTCCCTCTGCAGCCTCATCACGGCCTTCCCTACCATCTGCCAAGGAGATTTACGAATCGTTGCCACCCCAAGGCATGAACATTCAGAATCTCATTGTCAAGTTCAAGGGTCGTGTTGACAAGACCAACACGCAGGTCTTCATCAAGCTCGTCAAGGCGGTGTCTAGCTTCGACAAGGCCAAGAGCTGGCTTACCCCTCTGGAGAAGATGCCCTCCGATGAGCACATTAACGCGTTTATGAATGCGTCAAACGCACCAAAACCTGCGTAGTTTCAGACCGCATTTGGTCAGCACGAGAGCGAATGCGATATCCAGCCGGTCCCTCGGTAAATTGCATTAGCGTAGGGGACGAGGGCAAAGGCTGGTAATGGGGAGATGTACGGGCACTACTTGCTCGGGTCTATCAGTACATAATACATGAATCGCAGAACATGGATTACTCTATGCATGTAGCGTTTTGTGATATGACGTTGAGGTATACTATCATTCTGCATAAACTCAAATGCTCTACCAACACTCATGCTTTTGGCTCTCTAACCCCACCTTCTTCAATACACTTCTCACTACCATCGCCGTCCTTCAATGGACTCTCGTGCCCCTCTTCCGCAGCAACTTCTTCCAATACCTTCTCGTTAGCATCAACGCCCATTTCTTCATCTCTTACCACATTTCTCCCATGCATCTCTTTATCCGCCGTCTTACCATCAGCACTATCCTTATCCTTCTTGATCATGCTCCAGCCACCCCTCCACCCAACCCATCTCTCCTCCCATGGACCTCTAGCAATGATAACAAGAAGCGCTGCGGAGATAAAACCTACGCTAGCACTCCCGCTCCCAATCCAGCCCGCAGCAGCGTAAATATGGTTCCCAGCCGCCGTACCAATAAGTTGACCACAGAACGTGGCGACCATGAAGGCAGTATTCACTCCGTTGCGCCGCTTAGGCTCGACGGAGTAGATGCTAGAACGATTCGCGATCTGCGCGGTTTGATTGCCGAAATCCATCAACAGTGCTTGAAGGACGGGACCTGCGACCGTAAAGGTTCCAGTGTAGGTGCCGAGACATATACCAATGAGAGAGCATGTGAGGCCAAAAAGCACGGAGAAATGTGGTACGAAGCGGTCGGTAACTGTACGCGCGTAGATGGGGGAGATGAGCATGCCTGCTATGCCTATCAGACCGAAGAGACCGATTGTCAGGGATGAGTAGTTGTATGGGTCGCCGGCGAGGAGGAATGTCAGCGTTGTCCAAAACGATGTAAATGGCGCTGAGCAGAAGAGACCTGTTAGACATGCCTGGACGAGAACGGGGTGGCGGAACAGCATTTTGACAATGTCGAGTAGGATTCTGAAGTAATTCATGCCGGGGTTGGTCGCTGGGTAATCTGGCATGAAGAGCCAGAGGAGGACGAAAATGATGTACTGGAGGGCAAATGCCATCCAGTATACTGCGCGCCAGGTAACAAAGTTTGAGATCGTTCCAGAGAGGACGCGGGCAACGAGCACGCCGAGCATCAGGCCGGACACGACAATGGACAGGGCTGCTGCGCGACATGACGGAGGAGCTAGGTCACCCACGAGTGGGAGCATGAGTTGTGGGGTTACTGTTGTTACCGCTACGATGAAGGATATGGCTGTGAAGGTCCCGAGGTCGGACGTCAGACATAATCCTAGCCTGTCCTATCGTCAGTAATCTTTTTCCAGAATGCCTCGGGTATGAACGTGGCATACCACAATGTCGCAGTGAACCCTACTAAGCCACATACGAACGGCCGTCGAGGCAACAAGTCTCCCAACGGACACAGAAAGAGTAGTCCAGCGGCATAGCCAGCTTGCATCACAGTGGGAATCTGCGCGACTTGCTCATAGCGCACGCCGAAGTCTGCAGCCAGTAGATTGAGGATGGGGTGGTTGTAGTAAAGGTTTGCGACTGTAAAGCCCGCGGCAAAGGCGAATAGAACGTTCACTGGGATGATGGTAATCAGCTGGAATCCTGCATGGTGTTCATCGAGGAGAGCTCTGAGGAGCTGCATCGTGAGGTAGGCTTTGTTCAAACCGAACTATGACATGAAATTTCGCATAAAGACGTACTGCTCATAGAGAATTGCGGTGGTTTATCCGGATCCCAGCGACAGTTCGGCGGCGTCCACGTCAAGATTGTGTAAATTCTTCTCCATATTGACTGCTTCTCTTCTTCCTGCTCTATTATGCCTGTATTCCGCTCTATTCCTTTTCGTGGTGGACGACCCGTTGGTGATGAGGCTGCTGTCTGCACTGCACTTTTGTCGGTGGCTGGTACCATACCTCGGCCCCCACCATCTTTTAAGTCGACCGTTGACATAATTCGGCTTACGTCACACACATGATATACTTCCAATAAGCTATCCAACAAGAAACGACGATACAAGCAGTAGCGGCGCGAAGCGTAGTACAGAAATAAGGATGTAGAAGTAAAGCAGATAAGATGCAGAAGAATCGAGGTACTGAGAATCGATGACGGGATCCTTCCTATTTCGACCAAGTTTGGCAAAGATCCATAATTGAGGAGCCGAGAATAGTTTTGAGCGAGGCTGTTATCCCCGGTATCACCGCCAATCAGATCTACCACGCTATCTGGATGTAGGGCATGACTACGGTTTTGCGACTTGAGAATATTGTTGGCATTGCGTCGCATATGCATCTCCCGTCTAGACAATGTCAACAATCTTCTCGTCTTCATCGTCTTCGGCATTTTCCAATTCCATCAGCTTCCCGCTACCACCTGCACTAGCCATGTCTGGTATATCCTCCTCTTCGCCTTCTTCTTTGCGCATGATGACCTGGACCACACGGTCACATGCTTCTTGGACTGATTCGTCATCGACATGCATGTGGCACTCTCTGACAATCGGGTAGACTTTGACGCGCCTCAGCACCTCTCTGCTTTCTTGCGTTGTACTCAGTAAAAGCAGCGTCTCAAGATGAGTCTTGATGATTTCGTGATCCTTCTCGCGCTCCTTGTCCGGCTCAAGGAGTTGTAGCTCATCCAGCATGCCCTCTGTGTCGTCATCTGCGTACTCTTCTGGGCCCATGAGGGGTAGAAGGATGTATGGAAGTAGGTTTGCACCGATAGATGGAGGTGGGAGATTCGGGTCGGGCGATAGATTCGATAGTAGCACGGGATGCGAAGGGACGTGGAAAGCGACGTTCTTAATCGCCGAAGCTACGCCAAGGCGGCGGATGTGCGAGGCGTGGTCTGTGAAGACCTGGATCTTGGTGATGGGGATTACGTTATCGTCGTGCTCTTGCGGTGTGGTGAGGTATTTGCGACCCTTGGGAAACTTGGCTAGATCGGCGAAGAAGTACGAAAGGTAGTCGAAATCTGCGTTCTTGTTATACGCGCCCTCTGCGCCCTTGACGAAGCAGTCCATGAGCTGATCCATAGCCCACGTTGACTTGGACAGTTCTTTTGGTATGTCGCGCTTCAACTCTAAAACGCGCTGTAGCGAGTCGTCCTTTGCCATGTTGGCGAGGAGCATTGCGATCTCGTTGGCGTTGGGCTCTTTTGAGTTCTGCAGCAAGTCAGCCCTTGACAGTCCTTGGCTGTATACAGGGGGAACTGACATACGGTTATCCGCGATAAGAGCGTTTCGAGGAAGTCGTCGTCCTTTGCCAGCGCCTTCTGGACCTCGGCGTCGGCGGAGACATTGATGAGGATGGTCAGGGCGTTCTTCGCTATGGGCGCATAGTCCTTGACGAGTAGCTTCAGGTCCCTAATAGGCTCTAGTTGGTTGCGCTTCCATAGGGAGACGTTCGCCTGTGAGTATCCGACAAGGTGGTCGGCCGCTGCATAGTGTGAGCTGTGTTCGGTGGTGGGGTGGAGGGGCTCGTCTGACCAGTCTGCCTGATCTGCGTGTTGCCGTGGTGCAGGAATTCCACAAGCTGGAAGCGAAGTATTAGCTGACGATGAACCCCAAAGTCTCGAGTACTTGGCTTCTTACCTCTTCTAATTCTGACGGCATCGTGGCTATGGCTGGCTTCGCGTGACTGTCGTGCGCCATGACGAAGGCCCAACTTTTTCTCGGCTGCACATCTCGCTTGTCGATAAGCCTAGCGCGCGTCCCGCATCTTCGCTGCGCGTTGTCGCGAGCTGCATGCCAGGCCACTGCAGCGACGTGATACCCGCTGATTGCTTCATCTAATGCATATTGCCCTGCCTATTCTTAACAAGAATGACCTGACCCCGTCATCGTCTTTCGACCACCAAGCCCTTGGACGCTTACCACCACAGCTGGGCAGCCACAGCTCCGTTGGAAGCTCGGCCTTAGTTCGGGTAACTCAGCACATTACCCAGCGACCAAGTCTTGTAATCAGGCCATCTTGCACAGTTTGCGTCCTGGTAAATTGTGCGATAAGCTGCCAGTGCGATGCCTGAGCCAGAGTTGTCTTGGTGTTAGGGCGGCTGCGTGCACCGCGACTCTGCAGCGTGCGAGCCCTCTTTACCGCCGAAAGCTTGGTGGCTTCAAGCCCCGACCCCACCAAACGCTGTTTCGCCAGGACAGGCCTTCATCCGCCAGCGCTGCAAGATCAAAGCCCGTGGAACTATGAAAACACAACATATTCATGAGTTCAATTCCGGCTACAAGAATAATGAAGAACCACGCCCTGACTTTCGTGCTGTCACAGGGCAGGTACGACAACAGACATCCCTCCCATAGCATTCATGATGCACACCGAAAGTGGCATGTTGGCAAAGGTTTTGAGCGCTCGAAATAGATCGACGACTCGCAGCGGGCCGCCGGACTGGCCACTTGTCACATGCATATGCTACCCCGACGCAGGGCAGGCACATACCGTCTACCAATCATCGCCAGATGCAGGCATTCTCACATCGCAAGCTAGTGCGGCGGGGAGTGTAGCGAGTGAACAGCGTTGGCGCTTACAGCAACCAGCAGCCAACCACCCAAAATATAACCGCCGCTCATCAATTCTGAGTAGCGCCGAGCCTTACACACATCTTGATTGGGCCCATCTGACCACCACCTGGCTGAGAAGAGGGTTTTCCTGCATGGGAAGTCGTCTTTGTACCGCTATTGCCCTGGCTGCATGCCACGGCTCTTCCGATGGCTCGGAGTGCCTCGCAGAATGCTCGTCTTATAGTCGTTATCCCCAGATTACCCGAGACGTCGTACTCCCGGTGTTGCTGTTCTCAGTCTTTGTTCTCTTCTCTACACAGCCGGTATCTGTTGTTTGGTCCCGCCAGTTATTTCGGGGTACCATTTATCAAAAGAGTAGGATAGCAAGCACTCATTATGGCTGGACCAGCATTCCAATTATTTCCTCCTCCTCGTGCTCCAAGACAGACGAGTCCCAGTCCGCGACCATCTCCTCACCCAAAGCCAGTCAGTCAAGAACCATTAGCAACAGAGAGTGCCGTAAGCGCCAAAACACCTGTTGATCTCCACGGACTTCTCATCCAAGTCAACTCTGTGCCAGTATCACCCTCCAACCCAATGGCGCCCCCGCCGGCCATCGCGGCCCCGCCAAGAGCACATATCCCCAGTCCACAGGCTACGACAACGCCAATGTCAAATACAACGAGTCGGCCATACTTTGAACCACCGCCTCAGCAAACTGCGTCCCCACAACTTGGACGGCAAGAAAGCTTTTACCGTGTACAAGAACGTCATGGCCATGATCAAATCGACGACCAGCAACGCACCGCCAGCCCAGATCCTGCTCGCGCGATTTCACCAGCTTTCTCCGAGGCTCAGACTCTGGTCCGAGCAAATAGCTCTGCTACAAGATGCATGTCACCGCAAGAAGAGATTCCGATGCGGTCAATGTTCCCAGTTTATGATCCCACAGTCCCTCTTGGACGTCAACCATATCAGCCAACCCAAGCGTCGCCCACACAGATACCTCGAACCCAGATCAGTCGTTCACCCTACTCTTCCGAGTCGTATATTCCTCACAACAACGTTCGCTCGAGCGGCTCGACAGCTCCTCCACCACCAAAGCCCTTCTTCACGCCATCCAACCTTCTTGACAATCTCTGGCTAGCCACTAATGGACAAGAACAGCCCAGTGTGCAGATGTATACCCTGCGAATGCATCGAGCAACAGCCTCAAACCCGACGGTCACCTTTGGTACAACGCCATCGTTACCATTCTACTCTGTAGCACAGTCAAACCTTGCAGGTAACCACGAAGTACCCAGCATCATGAACGAGCTGCTCATTCAACGACATCACCCCACCCAGCCGCGAGTCTTACCTATTGCTCATCTCGATCTTATCGCGCCTCCGTCACTAGACAATGGAGCGTTTAGCCCACAACAGCAAGAGGATACCACCCTTCTTACTAGCATATACCCAAAGCTGGCCGCTCTTCAGGCGCTTGATGCTGCTGCTAACTCTCCTGCTGCCTCGCGTATTGCGCTTTCAGACCCGGGCGCTCAGTCGCCCGCCGCACAGCGTCTGGCTGAAGATGTTCTAGCTGGTACTGCGCAACGTGAGTGCTGCGCTCTTGCCTGGACGAGGGACAACCCTCAACAACAAGCAAATCCTTGGGCGCAACATATGCCATCCGAGGGTTCATATCAGCTCCATCATCCAACATTGGGCACCTTCCCCATCTCCCTAGAAGGTGACTGTTCTGTCATCAATGCTCCTTCGACGAGACCCATCACGGCGTTTTACGGGCATAACATGCCCATGACACCACAAAGTACCGGACGCAAGCCAGCCTGCATCACTGTGCTAAACCCATACGTTCTCTCTCCAACGACCCCCCGGACAAACGCGTTCTCTCCGCTACCACCACCTCCGCGATTCGATGGCACGAGACCAGTATCTATGACACCTTCTGAGATGTCTGTTGGCCAACTTCCTACGACCACCGACGCTACTGCCGATGATGCCATGCTCGCACGTCTTGACTTCGCAAACGACGCTCTCATTCTCAACCTTGGTGCCCTGACACGTTTTGGCAATCCCTTCTTGGTTGATGTTCTTACATCAACGCTTCTGGCAGTCGCAGTAGCGGAAGCTACACGCGGCCGCAAAACACGCAATCGAAGCCAAGAAAACTTTGAGCCACCACCACCGAGCTTCACCCTGAACCATCAGAAAGAAGACACAGCAAAAGCCTTCAAAGACTCTTTTGTCGAGGGCTTCCAGGGCATCGGTGGGAAGTCGCGCCCGCCACTCTCGGGTAAAGGACTGAAGAAGTTTGCTTCTAGCCTGAAGAGTACAACAACTCGTAGCGATAGTGCGATGGGAAGTTTCGACAAGGACATTGAGTTGGGCGAGTGGTACGGACAAGACAAGCATACGAAAGCGAAAGCCACAAAATCGGAGAAGAAGGCGAAGAAAGCGAATGCTGATGACGAAAGCAAACTACCGCTGGTCGCACGTACAGTCATAACGGTGTTGACGTTTGCGTTCAAGGCCGTGGTGTTCATACTGAAGATTGCGTTCAAGATTGTTGCGGGTGTCGTCGTCATGATCACGCGGAATTTCAGCAAATTATAGGCGTCGGCAAAAGGGCGGGCTGTTTCTTACGACTGATGGCTTTGGGATCTTTTTCTTACTGCATGATACCATTCTTACTACATTCGCTGGATACCACTTAGGCCGCGCTGCACGCGTGGCGCATAGGAAATTAATTTCATACGCACGATTATCACGTAACGTCAATTGCTTGAGCTGGTCATCGAAAAACCAATGTGAAGTTGTGATCTGTTGACTATGGGTTTGATGGTGGTTCTGACATGTGGACCAAAGCCCTGGTTGGACGAACTTAAGAAGAAGAAATCAAGTCCAGAGCCCGCATCGTATCTACCAGCGCAGTTATGCAGCACCGACCATCATGTACTCCTCGCTCTCCGCCTCGTCCATGAGATCGTCCAGGATGTTGTCAGCATTCCGGTGTATATAGCTCATGGGACCTTCACCACCCTTCAAGTGCAATACGCTTCCGGGCAACAGGTCTCTGGCCTTGTGAGCCATGGCGACGGGACAGTTCTGGTCGTCCTGACCATGCCACAAGGTAAGCGGTACTCCATTCTCTCCAACGTATAGATGTCCAAGCTCAAAGCCCCAGTCGCTGCCGCTCAATTTGGCTTCCCAGCTTGCGCCTTCGCTTCCCTGGTGGAACGATTCTCTAGTCATGGCTACGTAGATGGGCCAGTTGGTGGTGTCGTGGATAGCTTCTTGGTCGGCGGGGTGACGGCTCCGGATCTCCTTGGCAATGATGTCCTCGAGGACTTTCGGGTCGTCATCGCGACTTGGCTTACCGATGGTGCTCTCGAACAGCGTGGTGGTCAGCCCGTTGACCCACGGCGCTGCCCAGAGGACGATGCGCGAAGGCAGCAACATGCCAGCTGTGCCGAACTTGACTGGATAGAGACCGCTGACGATGCTGGCTCCCAGCAGACGGTCCCTCGACACCTCCTTGACGCAAGCCAGTGCATAGGGCGCGCCTCCCGATACGCCCAGTACGTAGAAGTTGTGGATCTTGAGGTGATCTGCCAGGGCGAGCACGTCGGTAGGCCAGTCGAGGATGCGACGATTGATCTGGAAGGTCGACTGGCCGCTGCCAGGACGGTCGGGCGCGATGATGCGGACGTTGTGTAGGGCGCAGGCCGAGTGCCATAGCTTGCCTTCGTAGCGCGAGGATTGGCAGCCATGCATGAAGACTATCGTCTTCTGTGGCATCGGGCTGCCGTAGATGGCGTAGGAGAGGGTGCGGCCATCTTTGAGCTTCATGCGCTCATTCTCCTGCTGCATCGTATGCGTTGGGATTCGTGTTTGGTCGCGAGGGTTGCTGAGTTGTTCGTTGCAGCTTCTACGGGGGATGGAGGGGCGCGCAAGGCCACATTGCCTTCGCCGCCTGGGGTAAGCGCGACCGGCAGCGCATGGTGAAGGTTGTTTGCCTTGAGGGATATACCAGCAGATCGACGATACGGGTGAGTTGTGCAGAGCGGGGGATACCACGGGGTGAGCTTTGTTTAGGCCTCGCTAAGCTGCACTACGGCTGTGACGGGCAAGGCCTCCGAACATCTCGCCTACTAGTCCTGACTTCACATGCGTCTCCAAACATATTACACCAACATCGTTTAGATCAGCGACTCTAACTACTGCGTGGACGTGCAATCCCATCAAGGATGGTGTCCAGGTCACCTGCGCCCTCGCAGCCGGATAGCCGCGCCTTTGCTTACATCCCCACTCACGCCACCCAGACGAAAACGAGTCAAGAAAGAAGCATTACAAGGCCACCAAGAACTCCATCCAACAATCCAAATACCCATTGCATCCCAGTTTCCTGAAGCGCCAATGCTGCTACTACTTCCTCTTCATGTAGAGGGGGCGAAGCAGAGCCTTGACAAAGCCGTCCTCCTTAGCCAGATCCAGAGGGAAGATGCGGCTCTTCAGCGTATATGCACGGAAGAGCTTGTAGTTCTTGAAGACAATGACATCGTAGCGCTCGGGGTTGTCTAGATGGTCCAGGATGTTGAAGATGTTGACATAGACGCGTGAAAGAGCCTACGAGGATACGTCAGCAGAGCTATGCGACCGGGAAAAAAAGTGTAACCTTTTTGCACTGTGTTATAGAAGGCGGCGTAGGCTCGATCTTGACATCACGACACAGCTTCTGCCAGTTTTCCAGTTTCGACTTGTCACGGCCGTAGTGTCGAGACACCTCGAACTCAACAACCTCCGCGCGACGACGCTTCGCTTCGTTCTTGGACCAACCTTGGTGGATCGAAAGCTTGCTGAGTTTCGCTATGAGATCGTCCTCGGGATCTGGGACAAATCCATTAAACTTCTCTTGCGAGAAGTAGTCACGAACTTCATCAGAGGAACCGTCGTCGCTTGGAGGAGGAGTGCTACGGTCGCTCGAGGAAGCAGAGGCAGTTGCTACAGCTTCAGGTACAATGGAGACGCCTCCCTCTGTTCAATGTGAGCACATCGCTATTGCTTGTTTATGTACGCTACTCACTAGCGCGGCTTCCGCGAACCATCTGGCAGGGTCAGTAGTGCGCGCAACTGCGGCAGTCGCCAATGGTGCCCAGGTGGTTTCCGGAGTTCGCGCGACACTAACCAACAGCGACGTTGGGACTGTTGTGCACACGAAGAAAAGAAACGGCTAGAAAGTGTAAACACAATGTTTACGTGTCGCCAAGCGGCTGCTGACTCATACAAATAAGCAACTATCTTCTAGTCCCTTCCCTGTTGCACGGATCTGGTGTTGTAACCCCTGACATTGCTTCTGTTTGCAAGTGCAATTACGGCCCACGCGGATTCCTCCGGCCTCGATCACAACTTCCTTAACAACGCCCTGATGAAGCAATCTTCCTTCGCCTTCTTCAGCGGAAACACATTGCCCTGCAATGTGGTGTACGCTCGGAACTTGGAGTAGTTCTTGAATCGGATCACTTCCACGCCGATGTTACGATGGTCAATAAGGTTCATCAGATTGACCAGGACGTTTCGGCTGCCAAGCACCTACCCACGGTTAGCAGCAGACTTTGCATCGCTTACAACTCTCCTTACCTGTCTACACTGTGTTATACTGTCTGGTGGATCGCTGATGTGTACCTCACGGCATAGCCTCTGCCAGATCTCTAGCTTTGTTGTATTCGTTCCATATGCATAGCCGAATTCCTCCTCCTGGCATTCAGCCCAACGCCTCTGTTTCAGTCTGTTGCCCCAGCTGCGTTGTGCTGCTAGACGCTCGAAATTGCTCCTGATTCCGACCGTTGGATCGTGTACGAAATTGTCGAACTGCTGGAACCATGCGCCGCCCTGGTTTGGGGTGTCGGTATGAACATCATCGTCCGCGTCAGCATGGTTTGACGCCGCTGAGACCGCCTGCAAACTGGTCCACTGCTTCCTTCGAAGCTTATCACCCCAGTTGCGCTGTGAGGCGAGACGATCAAAGTTACTCCTGGTGCTGGCACTTGTGTCGTATACGAAGGGTGCAAACTTCTGGAACCATACGGCGACCTGATTTGTGTCCTGGGCAGTTGAACTGTTTGGGTTCGCAGCAGAGGCTGCGGTGTCTAAACAGGTCAGTTAGAGTGTGTAGCGTAAGATTTCGACAAACTTTACTCACGGGCGCGGCCGGTATGGTGACCGGACATGGCGGATAGTCTAGGAAGGTAAGTGAGGTTCTAGGGTGGTGGAAATAACCCAGGACTCCTTAAATCGATACGTGGGTGCATATGGGAAGCTGCAGCAAACCGAGATGAGCAGACAATCGGACCATTGAGGACGTGGAAGACCCGAGATCCCTGGCGCCACGTCGGCAACGAGCTGGAACATTCTGCCAGTATTCTCTACAGGCATAGTTGCATAGACTCCAATGATGTGGGTGGTGGCTTTGGGGTTTGAACATCGAATGAGCCTCGATCGCATTGAGTGCCTGCTGCACGGTGGAGCAACTGTGCCGCATGTATGCATGTGCATAGCAGGGAGAGAGAGTAAATAGAAGCCCTGGGTTAACGTGAAGAGCTACTGAATTCTACCTAGGAAGAAAGATCCCTGAACATTATCCGGCATAGCACAATCTTCCATAGGTAGATGAGACCCTTCAGAATACCGCTTGAAGTAACAAAGCCTCCGATCTCTCTTGTACGAAGTCAAGGGTAGATCAAACCATGATAAGACTTCAGCGTGACGAGCTAGGTACTCTCGCCTGGCCGCAGCGAATCATCTTGATGCCTGTGCCTTCAGAGTACTTCCTTGAGAAAGATGGGCAAGAATGTGTCTCCCTTCGCTTCGTCAAGGGGATATCTGCGACCATTTAAGGTGTATTTCCTGAACTCCTTGAAATCTTGGAAGACAAACACGTCAGAGCCTGTTCGCTGCGAGTCAAGGAGATCGTAGATGTTGACCAAAACCTCCGCAAGTACCTGAATACGTGTCAGTAACTGAGTGTCATGACAAAGAGGAGAGTAACATACTTCCATGCAGCCAGGAATACTATCTGGGATTATATCGAGGCTGCAAAGGCGACAGAAGTCTTGCCAACGAGCCAGGCTACCCAGGTCGCTGCCCATGTGGGCTTCCCAATCGGCATCGAAGATCTCAATCCTGGCCTCGCGGCGCTCTTCACGACTCCAGCGCATGTGTTTGCACAATCTCCAGAACTCATTGTTGAAACTTGCCGTATGGTCGGGGAAGAAGCCCTCAAACTGATACCAGATGTCGCTCGCACGAACGCCGCCACTGTCGCTTGGAGTGGGCGTAGCATTTGACACCGAAGTACCAGTAGCATCATCGGGGACAGCATTGGCATCTGCCTCATGGGAAGTTGACAGAGAATCTGGGATCTGTCAGTTTTGTTGTAAAGTCAAACACTGTCTACTCACCGAAAGCGCGCCAGATGTAGACCTCGCCGAAGCACTCATGCCAGTGGTCATTCCACGTCTCTTCTCCGCCGACCCAACCCATCATCTTGGCTAGAAGACAGAATTGGCGCTTGGTAGAATCGTGGGTATCGAGTATGAAGACGCTGTCCTGCGCCCAGTTGCGAAACAGCGACTTCTGGGCATCTGAAGCGATTACTTTCGAAGCCATGGTGAGTTGCTGTCGTAGTCACTTGCGCTGGCGGCTGCGGGGTGTGTCGTGACTTAGAGGAAGTCAAAGAGGTGGACCAAAAAGAAGGGCAAGATATCTACCAAAAGCGTACTAACAGAGTGCGTGAGCGGTGAAGATTGAGCGACACCTCAAGATCGGTGAACGGTGAAGGCACGTGATTGGCATGATAGAAATGCGAGAAGCTTCTACACACAACGTTTTGTCACTGCAGAACGAGATGAATTTTCAAAATTATTCCGATTGATTGGAGGAGAACGGTAGCCATGTGCAGAGTTTATGACGTTTGGTCGTCACTCCAACGAGAGGCTGCATACCATCGCGAGCACCATCTTGTTCCCAGAATCAGATGTACCATGAAATGCCTAGATGTGAGAAGCCACACGCATGTCTGATTACCCTTAGAAATCCAGATAGATCAATGCAACTACAACTTGGACAGCAAAGCGGCCATGCAGCCTTCACCAGCCTTAGCACATTGCCTCGGAAAGGTGCCCTTCTTGCGGACGCTTTGACGAAGCTCGCGGAGAGTCTTGTATGTGATGACCTTGATCTCCGGATTGCGCATGTGGTCGATAACGCTGTAAAGGTTGACTTTGAGAGGCCGAAGCGCCTATAAATTGTCAGTGGCGTGCTTTTGTGTGGGCTCATAGATGATGTGCTTACGTTCTTCGCCTGGGTAACAGTCAAAGGGATCTGCTTGACGCCCATCTCCTGACATAGGAACTGGTAATATTCAAGCTTGTCAACGTCGTCCCCACCCCAGTAGAACTCAACCTCGCTAGTGAGCAGCTCGACTAGGTGCTGGCGTTTGATACGTCCCACCCAACCTTTGGTGCGAGCTAGACGTTCGAACTCTGACTGAAAGGACGCATCTGGGCGGTGCACGAAGTTGGTGTATTCACCCCATGCTGGGTTTTCGTCCCACTCTAGCGATGAAGCCTCTGACTCAGCGTCACTCGACTCTGTAGCCGTATCCGGGATCTCAACGCCCCCAGAAATCTCCTCCAGGGACTTGACCGTATCAAGGGACAGTACGCTGTTTTGTAAGTCGGTGCTATCCGAGAATTCTGTGTTCGGTGGAGGTTGTGGGCTGGTGGAAAGACCTTCGGCTTCGTGTGACTGGTCGCTGTTGATCGACCTCACACTTTCGAAAGAATTCGCCGACGTACGTGAGATGACCGAGAAAGACGACGTGTCAGAACCAATAGAGAGACTTCGCATGCGGTCTGTGAGATCGATCCCACCAGTTTGAGCAGTCACTTTCTTGACTGCAGTGCTATCGGTTGTTGTTGACTTGTCTGATGCCATGTATTAGTAATGGCTTGCTTGACACCGCCTTTCCGACTTCCTCGCATCGTGAGGGAAGCATCATCAAACATGCATTATGCGGAGCGAGCTGAACTTACGACGAAGTCCCCATGTATATTTCTCATCGAAACACGCTTCCCAGTGATGGCACCATTGGGTATCTCCGCCGGTCCATCCCTTTGCCTTTGCCAGGCGCGCGAACTCGGCCTTGGGTGAATTGTTGTCATTGATGACATGATCGGTGTCCTTGGCCCATTCTTTGAGAAGCAGTTTCTGGGCTTCGGCGGCCATCTTGACAGCAGCAGAAGATAGCGCGCTGATACAGCTACCGTCCGCTCCTATCGCGATGGTCTTGAAGTGTCCACGGGTTGTTGGCGGAATGGTGGGGTTGGGCTTAAAAGTGAGTAAGAGACAACAGCGGGAAGGGGTGCGAAGCACTCGTCAAGTAGTTGGGGGAGGCAGCTGTGTGGGTAATGGAGGGGCTGCAGCGGACTCTCCCAGGGTTTCGCATACGCGCTCACACGTGGTTGCGAAGCTTGAGATCCGCTTTCGGTTAGCGTTTGATGCCGGATTTCGGCCTATTCGCGCCAAGCAGGGCGTTTGCAAGGCACACTCATCACTGCATTCCAGTGAATGCTTTGACAGATCGCACAATACTAAAGACGCATTGATATGGTAATTGCTCCTGCTGTAACATCATTGGTTACTAAGATGCCGAGCCCATCCAAGATGTCCGCCAGTGCTTACATGCCGAGATACATCCGAGCCACATCGCCTACATGCGTGTTCTGCCGCGCAATGCAGCGAACTTCCCAAGACGCGACTTCGAGCCTCAAATTGACTTCTTCATCGCCCGCTTATCATTTCGTATGCGCTCCTCCTCGTCCACTGTCGCGTTCTCCCCATCTCATTTTAGACGCTCGTCTGAAAGGTGGCATCAGATACCTCTTGAGCCTTGCGTCGATTTGTAGCTGCTCGAGTCCGTCCGCGACTGTCGACAAGCGCAGCAGACTTCTCAGTGACAACTCTGGTAGCTGGAAGCTCGTAGGAATCGTCGCTGTCATTCGCGCTGCCGTCCGCACTGTCGTACACGGAACCCTCTAATTCTTCATCTGCTGTATCTTCCGCTTCCTCATCATCATCTTTCCCTTCAACCTTGATTTCTTTCTTGACCTCGCCAACCTTTTCCAACTCCTCGTAGGCTTCAAAGTCTGAATCGACACAATTCTTAGCTAGAGCCTTCATTGCTGCCTCTTTGCGAGCGCGGTCGAGTGTAATCTTGAGTGGTTTAATGGGAAAGCCCTTCGGTTGGCGCAGCTGGAGATCATTTTTACGGAGGCGAGCCTTGGGAGTACCGAGGTCCCAATCCGTCTTTAGGAGGATGGGCATTACGAGAGTGCTATTGATATTCTTAGCTTGGTCTGTCTGGTATCTTGTGAATACACGCTTACCCATTCGGCGCGGGTCCATCGGAGGGTACGGCAGGGTCTGAGAGCGCTGCGCCTGAGTCGATACGAGGCTCTTCATACGCCTTCTTTGGTGCTACTTTGACACGAGCCATGTTGAAAGATGCCGAGATGTTTAGGTAAAGTGGGAAGCTGATGTGCTGACGTGCGTTGCTGGGTATTGTCGCAACAGTGGAGTAGGAGCACAGAAGGGAACGAAAGGCAGAGCAGCCTAGCGAGCGGATACACAATTAATTTCACGTCACGCTAGCTGAGCTAAGACGTCCTAGATTGAGCGTTGTAGTCAAAGTGAAAGTGAACGTGGAAGTTGGCGCAGTCGTTTGGTACCAAAGTCATATTGAGCAGACTCGGGATAAGGAAACGAGCGTGACGCACGGTGCGACAATGCGGAGAATTCACCCAAGTAATGGGGACGGAAAGTGCATATGCTCAGTCTTTAAAATACTTGTTGAGTCCGTGGTGTTCCCGAGGAAGTTGGGAACGTGGCGCCCGTTACATGCACGACGCGGTGGTCGGGGAAAGCACCCTCAAGCTGGGCTCTTAGGCAAGAACAGAATTTCCACATCTTGCTGCGCAGACTGCGCTACTTTTCATGACATGAACGTATCCCATATCGTCCTGGATGCGTCCGGTCGATCGCTGAAGTCGGGTTGAAGGGAAAACCGGTGGCCACATCCTCTGGTAGCGTTGACGAGTGATATAGCCGAGAAGAACCTAAGAATATCATCTGATCTATATTAGCTCAACGATCCTGACTAGAAATGTAT